TGCCTGAATTTTCGGGTTGATTGGACTATTTTGCCCTCCTGAAGGAGAAGGAAGCCTATGAAATTGGTGGCTCAATCTTGAGATTTGGTGAAGAATAAACTCCTCCTGTCTCGATCATAGAGACCTCAAGTCGACGAAATGAGACATGTATCCAATGACAGTACTACAATTAACGTCAGGTTGTGTGGATGCGAACCCCATGCCTTGCGTTATCTCGAAAATAGTACGTTTTTGGGCTTAAAAACGCAGGATCCGATAGTTCTGAAGGAACTATCCGGGTCTTGCTGTACGCATCAAAATCTTCAAGGTCCAATTTGTCCCGCATCGATCTACAGACCTACCACCGTTGCAGTATTGAAGCCTAGCAAAATGTTTGTATCGACTTTATTTAATTTAGAAAGAAAAACAAAAGCGGAGAATACGACTCGCTAACCCCCCGTGAAATTCTGAATCCAACGGTACCTCATTCATGGTATTTGAGCATGACAGGAGCTTATATTTGGTACAAAACCGATTTCTAGCCTTACTGTAATAATATATGTACGGATGAGTTATTTCGGAAATAAATTATTTCATAACTATTATTTCAGAATTATTTATTTCATAAATAAATTATTTCAAAAATCAAAAAATGAATATTTCAGAAATAACATTGTTCTGAAATAACATAAAAAATTTACCAATATGCACCATGTTAACGGAGTATCTTTTTAAGAAAATAGTGTCGAATTTGTGATTGCGCCCCTCCCCCCCCCCCCACCTACAGCATCAACTTATTGTAAAGTTTCGGATTTAATCAATATCAGGGTCGACTATTATGTTTTCGGGGTAGCTTATTATGAAAATATGGTCGGATTTGAGATTGTGCCCCACCATCCCCTCCCCAATCGACTTTTAGTAACCTTTCGGATTTAATCGATATCAGTGTCGCCTATGATGTTTTCGGGGTAGCTTATTATGAAAATATGGTCGGGTTTGAGATTGCGCCCCACTATCCCCTCCTCAATCGACTTTTAGTACCCTTTTGGATTTAATCAATATCAGGGTCGCATATTATGTTTTCGGGGTAGCTTATTATGAAAATATGGTCGGATTTGAGATTGCGCCCCACCATCCCTCCCCGATCGACTTTTAGTAACCTTTCGGATTTCATCGATATCAGTCGAGAGAGGGGGGCGCAATCGCAAAATCGACAGTATTTTCATATTAAGCTACTCCGAAAACATAAAAGACGACCCTGATATCGATTAAACCCGAAAGGTTACTAAAAGTCGATTGGGGGGGATAGTGGGCCGCAATATCAAATTCTACTGTATTTTCTTAATAAGCTAACCCGAAAACATTATAGTTGACACCAATATCGATTAAATCCGAAAGCGTGCTAAAAGTCGATTGGGGGGGAGGGGGACAATCTCAAATCGACCATATTTTCATAATAAGCTACCCCGAAAACATAATAGTCGACCCTGATATTGATTATGTCTGAAAAGTTACAAAAAGTCGATGCAGGGTGGAGAGGGGGGTGGCGCAATATCAAATGCTATCGTATTTTCATAAAAAGCACCCCCGAAAACATAATTCTCGACCCTGATATCGATCAAATCCGAAAAGTTACAAAAAGTCGATGCTGGAGACTGGGGGGGCAGGCGCTATCTCAAATTTGACATTATTTTTATAATTAGCGGTCCCGAAAACATATTAGTCGACTCTGATATCGATTATATCTGAAAAGCTACAAAAAGTCGATGCGTGATGGGGGTGCAATCGCAAAATCTACAGTATTTTCATATTAAGCTACCCCGGAAACATAACAGTCGACCCTGATATCGATTAAATCCAAAAGGTTACTAAAAGTCGATTGGGGAGGAGGCATAGAGGGGCGCAATATTAAATTAGACTGTATTTTCTTAATAAGCTACCCCGAAAACATTATAGTTGACAGTGATATCGATTAAATCCGAAAGCATGCTAAAAGTCGATTGGGGGGGAGGGGAGCAATCTCAAATTCCACCATATTTTCTTAATAAGCTAACCCGAAAACATTATAGTTGACACTGATATCAATTAAATCCGAAAGCGTGCTAAAAGTTGATTGGGGGGGAGGGGCGCAATCTCAAATTCGACCATATTTTCATAATAAGCTACCCCGAAAACATTATAGTCGACCCTGATATCGATTATGTCTGAAAAGTTACAAAAAGTCGATGCGGGGTGGAGGGGGTGGCACAATATCAAATGCGATCGTATTTTCATAAAAAGCGCCTCCGAAAACATAATACTCGACCCTGATATCGATCAAATCCGAAAAGTTACAAAAAGTCGATGCTGGAGGCTGGGGGGCAGATGCAATCTCAAATTTGACATTATTTTTATAATTAGCGGCTCCGAAAACATATTAGCCGACTCTGATGTCGATTATATCTGAAAAGCTACAAAAAGTCAATGCGAATAATCATTTCGGAAATAATGGTCAGGCTATTTCATGAAATAAATTAACGAAATAACTATCGAGGTTTATTTAGGGATTTATTCCGGGAATATTTTTCAAATAAATTCTGCCCAGGTCTAATATATAACAATAATTACTTTGGGAAAAAAAACGAAACATACTAATTATCTACATGAAACGATGCTTAAGTGATTCTTGAAATCTTTTTAAATGTAATTACGCGAACAATAATACTTTAAAAAATATTTTTTTAATATGTTTTTCTATAAGAGATGGTTACATTTTACCACTTTGGATGAGAGGGCTTCAGCTCGAAAGCCTCCCCTCCCCCCGTAGATCCGCCTGTAATGATTGATGAATTTATAATTATAATTAATTGATCTCTTGATTACCAATTTGGATTCCGCAAATCGGATTCCAATATCCAACATCATCGTGTGGTTGATGTAGTCTCCTCTGCATCGGAGCGTGGAATGTACTGCAAGGGAGCCTTTCTCGTCTTTGAACAGGCGTTTGATAGACTCTGGAACATGGGATTTCTGTATAAACTCCGTGGATTCCTACTCCGTACATACTTCCTCCTTATCCATTCCTACTTTGCTGATAGGTAATGCTGATACTTCAAAGTACACCAAAATAATGTCTGTTCATCACTCATTGCTCAATCTGTTATATCCTCGGTCCCTTCTTCTACACAGTTTATAATATATAAATTAATATATTATAAACTGCACAATATTAATAGATAAGGGCAAAGGTGATATAAATAATATCTCTACCTGGAGACCGATCACCATATATTCGATTGTGCGCCGAATGATAGAGAAGGTTCTGGACCACGAATTAAGAAAGCAGGTCACCTTCCACAAGAGTCAGAGAGGCTTTATAAAAGGTCTCCCGGGAACGCACGTCAACGAGAGGATTATCGACGCGGTATTAAAAGATGCACAAAAAATGAAAAATGGCTGTGCGATAGTTTTCCTCGACCTTGTCGGTGCTTTTGACAATGTTGGCCATAAACACATCGTGAGCTCCCTAGAAGCGAGAGGTGTGTCACCGAATCTTACAAATGTCATATCGGCTCTCCTTAGCACGAACACCATGAAGATTAATAACGGTGTCCATGCAACTAACCAGATCAAAGTGCTGCGCGGTGTGCCCCAAGGCGGTCCCCTGTCGTCTTCACTCTTCAACCTGGCCATCGATCATCTCTACCGCGACCTGTGCGATGAGGACTTTTCCAAGAAATTTGGATACAAATTAAGGAATGAGCAGGATTGTGTGGTTCTCAGAGGTTTCGCGGATGACCAGGCTGTGTCGGCGCGAGACAAGGGGGCTGCAGAAAGAGTGATTGACAGCATCCAGAGGACATTTAAAGAAATTGGTCTGGCTATAAATCCTCAAAAAAGTATGGGCATCGTTGTAAATAAAGGAGAGCTGGAAACTACGGTGCTCTCCCTTGAGAATGGTGAGTACATCCAAACATTGAGGAATGGAGATACGATTAAGTATTTAGGATGTACATACTCGGGAGAGCTACAATTCAACGAAGATTCGGTGACTAAATTGAATGATAATTTAAACAAGCTGGTTACCTCTTGCTTACTCAAACCTGAGCAGAAACCCAACATTGTCAATAAATATCTGTTCCCGGGTCTTACTTACCCTTTCCAAACTGCGCCCCTAACAAGACTTCGCTGGGCTGGTCACGTCATAAGGATGGATCCAAACAAAGTCCCTTACAAGATCTTAGCTGGGCAAATGTATGGTAGCAGGCGGATTGGACGCCCCAGACTTCGCTGGGAAGTCTGCGTGGCTGCAGACACGAGATCTCTACTCGGTGTTATGAACTGGAAGGCAGCAGCATGGAACAGGGAAGACTGGTGGTCTGGGCTTGAGCAGGCTATGACTCAAATAATGGGTCATAACGCCGAATAAGAAGAAGAACTTTAAGAATATTACTTAAATTATAAATGGAAACCTAAGGCAATCAATATATATTATGTAAATTGTGTGCACTATATATTTCTGGTTTATGGATGAAAAATAAATAAAAATTATTTTCCTCATATATTTTCTATAAATTTCATTAAGTTTCTATTGGAATGTTTAATTCGCATTTTTCAGTATACAAATAGGAACTAATAACAGCAATTGAAAGCCATTACCTGTTTGTTACTCTTCATTAACTTCAATTACCTTATAGGTTAGATAAGTAATTTTCTAAAATGTTTAAGTTTCCAATCATAAATCTATATCACTACACTTATTTTTGGAAATTTGTTTTCAAACTACAAATATATTTCTCCCATTTTCTACTTTAGATGATTATCAAATTCTTTTATAGTTCATATATATCCATTTTGTATCACTACTAACAATTAAAGGACTTTAAATATTTCTAATAAACAAATTTAATAAAATTTTAAAGAATAAATATTCAGCATTTAAGCACCATCAGATTATTTCAATAAGATTAATATTCTACATGATTTTACAGATAATATTTTTCTTTTATATATTTTATAAATGGGTGAGTAAAATTAAAAAGTTAAGTTAAATAATTTATTTCATTATCTTAACAGAGTTTTCTAAATATTTCAAAACATTAAATGAATGTTGGTTTTATCAAATATTGAAGGCAATGAGTATCAAACAAAATCTTATTATATTCTAATTTAGTACATACAACAATAAAACAAATAATAAACTCAATAAATTCATTTATTTATAATAAGTCATCATTCATACTTTATAAAACAAATTATACACTTCTAATACCAACATCTTAATTGGCCAAAATAATTTATATTTAGTTTAGTATGAAAGTTAAGAGAACATTTCACAGAGCAAAATAACAAGAAATCATAACATTACATAAATTAATGCACAAAGTCCTTCTAAAATAGCTATCAGCATCACTCGCACAAATTTACACAACAGACAGTTTACTTTTTTAACTTGCAACAAATCATTCACTCAGTATAAAACAAATATTACAACAAATATTATTAACACATTCTGAAAGTAAATACTGCTTGTTCATTAGAGTTGTTTTGGTATAAAATATATGTTTCAGAGAAAAATAAAAAACTCATTGAAATAAAACCATTATTTTGCAATTAATATCTTTATTAATAACACAAAATTAATCTCTAAGTGGAACATAAATATGCCAAATACTTCTCTTATTAGATTAAATATACTTTTTACAATGTAAGATAGGTTTTTGATACATTAAGTCCACTACTAAGAATCTTAAAATGTTAACTACTTAAGTATTTTATATGTGAAATGACTTCATGGTAAAATATCACAATCCTGAATTTAATTAAATTTGATTCATATTTACTTTTAATACATATTCTTCAATACTTTAAGCAGATTTGACTTTCAGTTCTTTTTTTTTATGTATATATTTTTTTTGTTTTCTTTTTTTAAATATCAAATTATAATAATATATTAATATATTTTATGTACAATGTTTAACAATTATAGTTATTAAGCCAAACTTTTTTTCACCGCTAAAATGAAAAAGTTTGGATAAATTAATCAATGTAGCATTAAAGATATGCAATAAACTGCACAAAAATTGGTAGTTTAAAAATATTACATTAATTTAGTACATCCATGTGTACATTGTACATTCTTTGGTGATGAATCATGAATTCAATATATTTTATCACTTATAATGCAATACTTATGAACCAATTTCTTTCAAATTAAATGGGAACATGTTAATTACAGGTAATTATCAGTAATTACATCATAAGTACAAGTTACATTTGTACTCTTTTAGAGTTATTGTAAAAACTACAAGATTATTTTACCTTAATGTCTAATAGTGAACTGTCTAATTTGGACTAGTCTTGAAAATTACAGCTAGGCATTTTCAAATGTATGGGAGCTTCTTCCACCATTTGATGAGCCACTTTCACAAGTCTGTGAACAATAGTTGTAACTTAAAATAAAATCAATAGCTAGTTTGATAATGGATTTTCATTAAGGAGGATTCTTAAAAAAAAAAAATACATTTTCAAGGTCACAATTTTGAGCATGTAAACGATCTTCAAAAATCCAAGATTTTTTCATATAACTTTTAGTAATCATAAAGAACAATGAGAAACACAAAATTTAAAATCTCTTTTGGGGGACCAAATTCCATTTCACTCATTTATTAAACTGGCAGTAATAAGCACTAGCGGATCCAGGATTTAATTTTTGGGGGGGGGGCTTCAGCCCGAAAGCTGTTTTTTTCATAAAAATAACGATAATTACTTTGGAAAAAAAGAAAGAAACTAACTACCTGTATGAAATGGTGTCTAAGTGATTCCTAAAGACTTTTAAATGTAATTGCACAAACATTAATACTTTAAGAGATACTTTTTTAATATTTTTTACAATAAAACATGGCTATGTTTTACCATTTTGGGGGGGGCTTCAGCCCGAAAGCCCCCCCAGTAGATCCACCCGTGGTAATAAGTACTCCAGAGGCAGGTTACCAGCAGTAATAAATAATAAATAACAATAATAAGGCTTAGCGAACCCGAAGGTTCGATGCCGACACCACCAATCGCTTGTTACACACCTCCCTCCACCGTTCCCTGTCCAAACCCAGTCCCTTCAGATCGGCTTTAATGCAATCTTCCCACCTTCGCTTCGGTCTACCCCTCGGATGCTTACCATTCGGCACAGCAAATATTAACCTTTTAGGAATTCTCTCGTTACTAAGCCCAACAACTTTACAAGCCCATTTGATTCGCCGCGATGAAATTAACTCAATTATATTACCCGGATACAGCTCACGCAATTCGGCGTTGTGTAACCGTCTGAACTCTCCGGTTAACTCATCCTTCTTCGGTCCGAATATTCTACGCAATACTTTATTTTCAAAAACCTTAAGACGCTGCTCATCCCTTAATGTAAGCGGCCAAGTTTCGCATCCATAAAGAACTGTAGGCAAGATAATTGTTTTATAGATTCTAATTTTTAAGTTTCGGGACAAGAGGCGCGAACTAAGTAGTTTTGTCACAGAAAAATAACAAGCATTCCCCGCCTTCAGTCTAACCTTAATCTCTTCTTCAATTTCGTTTTTATAGTTATTGTAGAACCTAGATACCTAAATTTATCTACCTGTTCAAACATATTACCATCTATATCGATATAACCAGTAGTATCGCCATTTTTGCAGCTAACCATATATTTTGTTTTATCCACGTTTATTTCGAGTCCTAGTTCTTTACCGGCTTTCATTAACGTTGTCGTATTTAGTTTTATAGTTTCAACGTCTTCGCTTAACAGTACCAGATCATCAGCATAGCCCAGCACGGATGTTGTCCCGCCCAGATCCAACCCTTTCTCGGTTCGCATTACCTCCCTAATGGCATGTTCTAATGCCAAATTGAACAGGACAGGCGAAAGAGAATCCCCCTGTTTTAAACCCGAACGAACCTCAAATTTTTCGGACAAATTATTACCGATTCTAACTTTATTGAGTGTCTCCGTCAAGCACATCCTGACTAGATTTACTAGTTTTTTGGAATCCCCTGCTCGATTAGAATATTATACAGTTTCTGGCGGTCAATAGAATCGTAAGCCTTTTTAAAATCTATATACAGCTGGTGAACAATACCGTTATACTCCAATTTTTTCTCTAATATTTGCCGTAAAGAAAATATTTGATCAATTGTCGAACGATTCCGTCTAAATCCGCATTGGTAGTCTCCGATAATTTCCTCGGCGTATTCCGTGATTCGACTGGTTAAGATTAAAGTGAATATTTTATAACATACCGGAAGGAGTGAAATTCCTCGATAGTTATTACAATCCGTCCTCGGACCCTTTTTGTGAATCGGAATAAGAATAGATTCTTTCCATTCTTCAGGTAATTTCTCGTTCACCCAGATCTTTTTAACCAACCGATGTATTTTAGAAACTCCAGCTTCCCCGCATGCCTTGATTAGTTCAGTAGGAATATTATCGATTCCCGCTGCTTTATATGATTTTAATTTTCCGATAGCTACTTCAACTTCCTCTTTACTTGGTCCTTCTATTAACGGTTCAGCACTCTGGTACTCAGAAGGAGGACACAGATCATAATTTCCCGTATTTAAAATATTGTCAAAGTGGTGCTTAAACTTATTCAATATGTCAACCGGATCAGTCAGAATATTGTTATTATCATCCCTCATTCCAGACGTTACGGGCCCGACATATTTACGTGATCTGTTTATACCTTTGTACATGTCTCTTACGTTATTTTCGATTCTATTAGTTTCTATTTCAATTATTTTATTTTTAAGATACTCCCTTTTTTTATTTTTGAGCAATTTTGTCGTTTCGTTCTTTGAGATTCGGAAGTATTCCAGATTGTCTTCGCTAGGATTATTTAGAGCTTTTAATTTAGCGGCTTTTCTTTTTTCACACATGTTTAAGCAATCTTCATCAAACCACGGTTTGTTATTCTTATTTTCCTTTTTTCCTAGACACGAGTTACCGACCGCTTTAATATTATCCCTGATCTCTATCCATAACTTGTCAATATCCTCGTGGTCCTCGTCAGGAAGCTCTAAGCCTTCAAACCTATTCTTAACATCTAGCTCGAATTGGTTTCTAATTGATGGATTTTTTAATTTTTCCAAATTAAAATTCTCAAAATCGAAACGGTTTTCTTTTCTCTTTTTTATATTAAGTTTTTGTCGAAGTTTCGCGATTACTAATTCATGATCCGACCCACATTCTGCTCCGCGATAAGACCGTACATTAATTATACTGCTTTGCCAGCTATTTTGTATCAAGACATGATCGATTTGATTTCGTGTTTGCGAATCCGGTGATGTCCAAGTATATTTATGAATATCCTTATGTTTAAACGTCGTACTTTTAATTATCAGGTTTTTCGAGATGGCAAAGTTTATCAGACGGATCCCATTATCATTACTATATTCGTGCAAACTTTCTTTACCAATCGTCGGAATATAAACTTCTTCCCTTCCTACCTTTGCGTTAGCGTCACCTACAATTATTTTCATGTAGTTTCGCGGTAGTTTATCATAAACCCATTCGAGTTTATCGTAAAATTCACTTTTGACTTCATCGTCACTGTCTTCGGTCGGACAATGTATGTTTATTAATGCAATTTTAAACCAACGTCCCTGAAATGTAGCTACCGAGATTCTATCACTAAAGAATTGTACGTCCCTCAAAGCGGATAGGAATCTACTCCTAATTAGAAACCCGGTACCCAAACAATGATTCCCGCTTCCTCCGTACCAAATAGTGTACTTTCCTTCCCTCATCGAGCCCTCCCCTGGCCAGCGAACCTCTTGCAGAGCCACGACATCCAAATTGTACCCATTTACCTCATTCGCGACCGATTTTAGCCACCCTGCTGTGTTTAAACTCCTTACGTTCCACGTACCAATATTTAAATCCCTATATTTCAACTTGCACCATGAATCCCCTAAAGCAGTCCCCACCCGGAGACCCGAACGGGGGACTAGTTTACCTCCGGATAATGGGCATTTTACCTTAGGGAGATCCATGACTTTTTGTGGTGTTTGGTGAACTAAAGATATGTGAGTAGGGCGTTCAATCCTACGTCACACCCTCCAGCAAGTCTGGTGGGCCCCTACCTCCAGCAAGTCTGGAGGGCCCTTCTCATTGTTGGTCAGCGAGTCCATCGGACTTAGCCGGGAGGAACTTCCAAGGAATTTCCACCGACCATCCCCACATCCGCCACCCGTGGGACGCTCCCCATACGCGGTAATGAGCCCGCGCGAGGACCAGCAGTAATAAGAATGCTAATATATAACTGAATAACTTCAATAGACAGAATGAAAGTAGAAAAGTTATAAAGAAATTTATTGATAATGGTTTATTATTTTGGGCAATACTTATCATAAAATATAATACAGAAATTAATTAATACAAAATAATTAGTTTACAATAAAATAAATTTTTGGTTTTCCCTAGGAGGAAAAGCAAACACAAATATGAAAACTTTTTTAATGAGTGCTGATATCTCAGTGTAAATTTTAGGTCTTCATGAGGAAAATGAGTGCAGTGTTCAATAAGTAGCTTTCTACAACTTAAGATAGAACAATTATAGTTTGTTTTATTTTATTTTTTGTTAAAACAAAATAATTATAACTACTCCCCTGAAAAATTTCCTTTAGTTTTGTTAAAAAAAAGAAAAAAAAAAAAAAAAAAAAAAAAAAAAAAAAAAAAAGGCTCTAATCCGGATTTAGTACATACCCTTCAACCAAAAGTTAAAAAGAAGGTCATAATGTTTAAAAAATTCCATTTATAAAATAATGCATGTTTTCTTAGGTACCGTGCATGGATTATAGTTAACTCTGAATAAGGATTTGCCGTTGGCAAAAGAGGGATTGATACATAGTAATAAGAAGTTGAAGTTTGCATGATTCATTACCTTCTCAGTTTGGTGAATTATAATCGAAAAACCAAAATTTCTAAGGGTTATGTAGTATAATATGAGATAAAACATGTAATAACAAAATGAAAAAAAATATATATCAAATGAACAATTAAATTGCAGTAATAAGAGTCATAAAGATTCTCTGTTGAAAAGTTTTCTTTCATTACAAAAACTGAAAATGAATCATTGGTAGGTGACTGAAAAAAAAAAAAAAAAATTCCCATGATTAGGAAGTGTTTATATCATATAACATGGCAGTTTTTATATCATATAGGTTATTCGAAATTCCTCCTTAAAGTGTTACGAAGAAAAAATATTGATAAGAGTGCAGTAATGAGAAATTTTGGTGTAAAAAAACTTTCAAGTAAGCTATTGATATTATCAGTTCCATTTAAATATTATGAATGTATTTCTGAAAGGAGACTACCTGAGCCTAAAATCTTTATAAGGTTTTCCCATTAAAACAGCAAACTCCAAATTTTTAAAAGAGAAGTTTTAACCAAATTGGATTTTGTTACAGATGGTAATAATCGTAAGCAAAAGCTTTAAGACCCCATAAAAGAAATTTTTATTAAAGAAAATTATAGTTTATTTAATGGATATAGTCAAGAGGGGTGGGAAAATGTAATAAAACCAAAGAAGATCTTCAAGGAATACTCTTTTTATTTTTTTATAATCACCCATAACAGTAATTATTTCACTTTTTGTAATATTATATATATATATATATATATATATATATATATATATATATATATATATATATTATTATTATTATTATTATTATATATGTAACGCAAAAAGTGAAATAATTACTTTTAAGGTTAGTTATAAAAAACATTACAAAAAAAAAAGTATATATATGTATCTATCACCCTAACTCATTTTATATTGAATTGAGCTATTTAATATCATAAAGAAATATTAATAAATAATGAATCAATCACAGCCTAAACCAAGAACATATTATTAAATATTTGTATTGGAATACAAATTATGAAATAAGCTTTATAGTTGAAAAGACATTCTATAAAACCAATAATTGGAATAGTATGATTTGATTCTATAAAGACAACCACAAGAAGAAAGAAAAAATAAAATTACCTCTTTTAAATAAAACTTTGCATTTATTTTTTTTTTTTTTTATCATTAAAAATCTTTTCTTAGTGAAAAGAATATCACATTTCAACTGTTCACATTAAATGTTTTCTTAAGTGTTTTTTCATTCAATTTGTTCAATATATAACCCAAGTTTTATGTGTTTCTTAAGGACAAATTAATAAAGTTGAAAAAGGATGAGGTATTTCATTAAACAATTTATAATATATTCCATACCAATTTGTATTTATAACTAAAGACACTGAATGTCAGTAAAAGTTTGATGAATAAAAATTGAGAAAAATATACTAAATTAATTATATACTCATTACATCATATATTATATCAGGAAAGACATGGTATAATTGTTGTCGACAAATAGTTAAAACATACATTGGAAGAAGAAATAGACAGTGAAAGTATATAGTTATAGTTTGATTAATTTAATATATTGTTAAAACTTTAGATATTACTTCAAATTTGTCATATAAAAAGCATACCCATTGTTTCATGTTGCATTTCTACCTTATATGATGGATTGTCATAAGCAGCTGTATGTGGTAATGGTTTCCTTTGTACTGCTGTCGTAATGGGAGCTTTGTTATGCCCATGCTTCCTTGCAAGAATTACAAGCAATCCTACTGCAACTAAAATAGCAATTGCAGCAAGTATTGATACACCAACAAGTGGACCATAGTAATCGTTAACCTCTGCTAAAGAAGCACCTTCAAACTTCCCTGGAAATTCATACTTAGTGATACTTTTTGTAACATTTGCATTGTAAGAAATTAAAATAAACCTTTATTTTTATGTTTCATTCTTTTATTTTTTTTTATTTAAGAATAAAATTTAAAATGTTCAATATATTATCTGGAAAATTGCTTTTGTTTGTTATTTTAAAATTATTTTCCTTTTAATTAGCTGTAAAAAATGTTAGTAAATATTTTTTCTTAGCCTTTAAAATAAAGTTTATTTCAAATGTTACCAAATACATAAAAAAAAAAAAACAGTTGGCAGATAGTGAAGCCCATCAGATATGGTAGGTGGCTGCGAATAAAGGTTTTTCCCAAATAAGCAGTCCTGGACCAAGGCTGCAGCAACATCAGGGTATGGGGGAATACTCCTGCGGCGGAACCATTACCAATAAATACCACAGGTGTCCAAAGATGTTGCTGTGACATGGCGTGAAAGTGCCGCCAATTAAACAAGCACAGCCCCATGCTTTCTTGCATGGTAAGGGGTTGTGTCCTCAAGCGATAGGAGATGGACAACTCTGATGTGAAACCAAGAGTAGGACAGGCTCTTGAGCTGTGGTGAAAGCAACTGTCCTAGGAGAAGGAAACCCTGAATAAAACTGATCCGGTCCTCCAGGTTGGGAGTTGAGCGTGTGGCTAACAACCACGCCTCATAAAAAAATCCATTGTTCAGAAAACCGGATTAGAGAATAAGATGGATAAAAAAAATGGAAAAAGATATAGGTGCCCCAAACAGAATAAACAAAAAGTCTCTGACATTTCTCTAGCAACTTGGAATGTGAAATCAATGATGAGACCGGGCAAATTAAATGAAAATTCTGACGAACTTATGAAGTACAACATTGACATAGCTGATTTGCAGGAGGTGAAATGGAGTAGGAGTAGTAAAATTGATAGGAAAGGACATTGCTCTACAGTGGACCTGAGAAAATAACTGGACAAGCTGGTACTGCATTCTACATTAATGAAAAAATAAGAATAGCTCTGCTAGCTTTTGAGCCAATGAGCGATAGACTGTGCAGAATTAGATTGAAGAGAAGATTTAGGAATATAACTGTTTTTCTGTTAATGCAACAATGGATGATGCGGAATAGGAAGCAAAAGAAGAATTCTGAGAGATAACGAGAAAATGTGTTGAAAAATTGCCTGAATATGATACAATCATTCTTTTGGATGATTTCAATGCCAAAATAGGCAAAGAAGAAGCTGTTAGCAGAGTAGCAGGAAAGTACTCATTACACGATATTACTTGTGAAAAAAGAATGCTCCTGGCTCAATTTGAGGAAATGTTTAGTTTGCGTATAAGGACTACCTGCTTCCCTCACAAATGAATACATAAAGGTACTTGGAAAGTACTTGAAAAGGATATTATTAATCAAATAGATCACGTGTTGATTGGAACCAGGCATACATCAAATATAATTGGTGTAAGGACCATGAGAAGACCTAACTGCGACTCCAACCACTATCTGGTTAAAGCGCATCTAAGAAAAAGAATAGCCAAAGCAGGGAAATCTAAAAGTATTGAGAGAACTAAATGGAACACTGAATGTTTTAGAGATGAGGAAAAACGTAAGAAGTATCAAGATTCCCTGGATGAAATGGTCATTAAAGGAAAAGTGACAGATAGGACTATGAATGTGGATGAGAGATGGAAAGTAATGAAGGATATCCTTAATTTTGAGGCTAAGGAAACTGGGTAAATCTGCTAAAGTAAGAAATGCTGAATAGAAACGAGGACTGTAGAAAAACAATAGAGAAAAGAAATCAAGCAAGACAGAAAATGCTTCCGAAAAATACCAGACAGAAGATAACTACTGTTCACTAAGAAAAGAGGTGAAAAAGACATACAGATTAGAAAAAAGGAAAATGCTAAACAGCAGGATGGAAAACATTGAGAAAATAAACTTGGAGCATGAGAGCCAAAAGCTTTATAAACAAGTCAACTGGTTTACAAAAGGTTACCAGCCAAAGTTTACTGGTCTTAGAGATAAGAAAGGTAAATTATCGAAAGGTGAGGAAAATGTGATAAAAAGATGGACAGAACATTTTATAGAGTTATTAAATGTAACTGACACAATTGATTCAAATAGTAATGATGATGGTGAAAATAGTCATAAAGTTCATGAAAATAAAAATTATGAGAATCAAGTAACCATATCCGCAGTAATGAAACCCACTTGAGTTGAAATAGAAGATGGCATTAGAGTGTTAAAAAATTGTAAAGCATCAGGTGAAGATAAAATCATAGCAGAACTAATTAAAAATAGTCGCATTAAAATGAAAGGCATGAGAAAATACCACAAGAATGGAATATAGAACTATTGTGCCCTATATTTAAAAAAGATAGTAAAAAATCTTGCTCTAACTATTTAAGTATCACGTTATTAGAGGTGCTCTATATTTTGCCATAAGACAAACTATGGAACTTTTCTATGAATATAATTTGGACCTTCACCTGAAAAAAGCCGCTCTATTCAGCATCCTCGACGAACATGGTATACCTGCGAAACTTATAAGGCTCATAAAAATGATACTAAGAAATACTGCTGCCAAAGTTATGATTGCAAACAAAGTGGAGTAAGGCAGGGCAATGCATTATCAGCAACACTGTTCAACTTGGCCTTACATTCGGCAGTTAATGATGCAATTAAAGCTGGAACGCAAGCCTATAAAACCTGGAAAATTTGCACGTATGCAGATGATTTGGTTATTTTGGGCAGAAGTGAAGCAGTACTAAAAGAAGCCTTTGAAATTATTGTAAACAGAGGTAGCAAGGTTTGGCTCACCCTAAATCTAGAAAAAACAATATGTATGCTATTAAAAATCGTAACTAGCCAAAGAAACAACAGCATCTCTCTTCTCAATTATAAGTTTGGAAGAGTGACCAGCTTCACTTATTTAGGCTCCTCAATAAAATAAGATCAGCCATGAAATACAAAATAGGATAATGGCCGGAAACAGGGCATATTATGCGAACCTGAAACTCCTCACATCAAAGATTCTTTCTAGGAAGACCAAACTAAAGCTGTATAATGCTCTGACCAAGTCGGTTGCCACCTAAGGGTCGGAAACTTGGTGCCTACCATCGACAGACTGTCAAAAGCTGAGAGTTTTGAGAGGCGAATTGTAAGAAGGATATATGGGGCTGTACACATTGATGGAAAGTGGAGGATCAAGAGCAATGCAGAAATTGCAGCCATTCTGAAAAGCCAAGATATAGTTAATTATATAAAAGCAGGTAGGTTGCGATGGGCAGGTCATATTGCCAGAATGAACAAAGAGAGCGTTCAGAAGAAGATGCTAGACATGGCAATCATTGAAAAAAGGAGAAAAAGAGGTAGTCCGAGGAGCTGCTGGAAGGATGAGGTGGCAAAGTTGAGTTTCGTGAATTGGAGGAGCGGCGCCAAGGACTGTAACAGATGGAGGGATATAGTCCGGAAGGCCAATGGTCACAAAGACCTGTAGAGCTGGGGAGTAAGTAAGTAACATAGTAATAGGATAACAGATAGAACAGTAATGCTGTCATCGATAAATATTAATTTAAATTTGATTGTGGGACAGGAGAAAGTTTAACACAATTGTTACTGAATGTCATTTATTTGATATAAACAGATTCAATGTGAAATAGTAGGTGCTTCATGTGTTTATCTTACTATCACAAACTGTCTAACTGGTTAAAGAGTGTTATCATTTCATACTCTCCATTCTAGAGAAAAAATCATATTTTGTATTTTATTTTAAAAATGTATTGTATTATTAAAATTTTAATAGTTTATATTTATTAAGAAGTGTCATTATTTCTTTTATTCTTTTTTGTTTTATTTTTTTTCAGACACTCACACACACACGCACAAACAAAAAAGTATAATTGTGAATGATAAAATATTTCATTGGTAAAAAACTGTTTTATGTATTATAGCAAAATATTTTATAAACTTGAGAATGGCTCGAGAAAGCCAAAACATTATACAAAAATAAATGAAAATAGAACATTGTAATGACTATTGGTTTATATTTTTATTTTTAAAAAATAAAATATTAATCATTTATTATTTATAAAAAATAAATTTAACAATAAAATATTATACCTTGAGTAATATCAACAGATGAACCTGATCCCTTCTTTGTGATAAAATCTTTTACGTTACTTTTTTTAATTTTACCATTAGTTAAGTAAGCTTCAATCCATAATCGGTACCTAAAAGTAATTAATTCAAATATATAAATATTTAGTGAATTCGACAATAATACAAATGAACATATTATCTTGAACTAAATGTTTAGATATGATAAAGTCTTTGTTACTTAACATTCATAATAATCAAAAGATTCCTACAAACAAAAATCAAATCATTATCTAAATGAAACTAAATTGAATAAAATTTTCAGCCATATTCATCTGTGATTTTGTCACATTGTAATTCGATACAAATCTTAATATTTTTAATAGATTTATTATATCATTGAATATTATAGTGAATATTTGCTCTGCATTACAAATATTTCATTTATAAGTTGTATCTTTGAATTCTATTTAGGATCACTGATCACAAATATCCAGTCAGATTTACTCAATCTCAAATATGATATATGTTTCTTGTAGATCATCTTTTCTATAGATCTTCTTTATGTCACAAGTTCTATGCTAAACAGTTAACAAATAAATTAAATGCGAAGATTGTTGTTCTATGTGATGTCACCGATATAGAAGTAGAGCAAGGACAAATCCAATTCAGGATAACGTTGCCATTGGTTTTCTTCAAATGGCTCTTGATCAAACAATGAAATGCAGAGTTCATGAATTTGGTTTCCATTCATGCCAAATTTTATGGATGAATTTTGACTTGTACAAATTTATATATGCTTAGTTTTTTTTTTTTAAATATCTTCATGAAACGTATGTTCCAACGGCGAAATCCTTTCTACATTTTGTACCCCAGATATTAATTTGATTCCAAGTTCCTTGAGCAATATTTTGAATTAAGTTCAAAATATCTCATAAACAGTAACCACAGAAATCTTAGAGTAGTTCAATAAATATTGAAGTAGATTATGGAATATGAATTACAACTTTTCACATCAAGGAATTATACAATTAAATAAACTTACAATTGCATAGCATCATTAGTATTTTTAAAACTTTTAAATCACAACATGCAACTACAACAGCTAACGAGTTCTAATAATGAAAAAATTCTGTATTTTGTACTTCATAAGAAAAAATTGGAAGTTTTTTAAAATAATGATTAATATAGCAGATTCTTCAACTTGAAAAGCCAAAAATTATTTCTCAAATCTCTGGTTTTGCCAGGGTTGAACAAGATTTTAATGAATTTATTAAAGCAAGAAACATCCCTTTTCCATTAAAAAAATTAAATAAAATAAATAAATAAAAATAAGAATTTCTCTGAAATTGGTAGAAGTCGTATAAGATCATCTATAAAATAATTCCACAATCAATTTAAACTATTGATAACAAACTAAATATAACCATTAAAGCGATAACATATCAGTGAAACGGGCTTGTATAGTTGTTGGTCTGGATAACATAAAATTCATTAGAAAAGTAATCAGTGATAAAGGGATAAACATCCAGCGGATAGGCTGAGACATAAACAGGATTTTGTTAGGTATAACCTTGTAGTTTTAGGTTTATATGAGTTTATGTGGAAAGAATTATGTAGATAGGAATCATTGGTGTTATGTTATGGAACCGAACCTCTGCATTCGTACATAACGTTTATTTTATTAATAATTTTTTGGTTTAAACTGGACACATTGCTTTGTTGTGTGATAAAATGAGATGAGAAAATGGAAATAAGCCTTCCAAATAAATAATCTAAGAAACATAATAAGTAATACCAATTATTACTATAAACATCGAATGAGACTTCAATAAATTGATAAATTTAAAACAACTAAAGTTATATATAAAAACAATAAAGTTCAGCTAGTTTGATCAAATTATTTCTATTAAGGTGTAGTTTTAATACCTTGTGTCAGGTTTCAGGCCTTGAATCAATGTACCAGATGGTGAATCTCTTTTAGCTACTTTAAATGAATTCATGTCTTCCCGACCTCCTTCATATTGATAAATTGCTCTGAAAATGTTGACATATTTATCCTCTGGATAGGGAACACCGCTCCAACTAACCTCAACAGATGTACTTTTGATATGATGCATATCTAAAACTAGCTCAAATTTGTATGGATCTGTAAATCAAAAACAACAATTAAATAAGTATTTGATTAAAAAGTTAAAATGTTTGACCAATAGTGTATAAAATGTAACTTAATACAGGGCAATCTCAGTAATCCAAACTAATTGCAGCCGTGGGATGTTTAGATTACCGAAAAATTCAAATTACAGAGAGTGTTAGGGAAAGCTACCTAAAATAAAAGATTAAAACTCAATAAATACAAACAACTTTGTTAATAAGATTAGTGGGGGTAACCTCGCTAAGTTGGAGAACTTCTCGTCGGTTGTTGTGGAGAGCGCGTCAGCACTCCTCAAGTTAGGGATAGACGATCTTCCTGGTTTCGTTTTAACCACTTTGGCACTTAGACGGTTGGATGCCAAAACCAGGGAAGGCTACGAGAGGGAATGCGGTTCTAAAACTCAACTTCCGACATGGAATGAATTTGCGGACTTCGTTCAGAGACATGCCGTGAAATTGCAGTCCGAGGCCCTTCTCGTTAATACCTCTTCCGAAACAGTGCACCCCAAGTCAAAACGTGAGAAACCATCGAGGCAGGTTTTGATGGCCACCAATTCGTTACGCAGCTCGACGAAATGCCCAATTTGCGAAGCACCTCACCGAGTGTACGATTGCTCTCGTTTCAAGAGCCTCACCCCGCAACAACGTCACGATAGTACTAAAGCTCTCAAACGATGCATTAATTGTTTGGCCTCCGGACATTTCGTGAATAAGTGCACCTCTCGCGTATCTTGTCGGCTCTGTGATAAAAGACACCACTCCCTCTTACACTTTTTCTCTCGTGAATCTCGGCAAACAAAATTTCGCAGTTCAAAATCCACACCTCGTCGTTATGGTGCAAGTTCGAAAAGTGCACCTACCCCGATTCCTTCATCTTCCGCTCCTCGTTCTCCGGTCTCACCATCGAAACCCTCTCACTCCAGCTCGTGTAGGAATGTTACATCGCCTATCGATCAAGACTTGCTAACCACACCTCGTGAAACCACTGTTCTCCATACTGTAACCGCTCCGCTCACTCACCCCGAATGCTCTGTGTCACCGACCACTCCACCCAGAAGACGCTTCACACCGCACCGCAATCATTCAAGGGACCGTTCGTCCAAAATGCGTCGAGTTACGTTCGATACATCCGCGGCGAGAAACTATTCGTTCGATGATCACTCCCTCACCGGTCATAGTCTACAGTTTGACCTTAAGTCGCTGAATCCACTTGTCGATCCCCTTGGTTCGGTCAGGGTGGGCGGCAGATCACCTGACCAATACTCGAATGATCATCTTCTCACCGGTCATATATCACAATATGAACCAAATTTGTTCCGATCAGTCTCACCGTTTTGCGTTCCCGTTGGTTTTGTCAGGGTGGGCGGCGGCAGGTTTCATTACACTCCTGCACTTTTACCCGTAAATCCTCGTGTGATAAATCCGTTTGTTGACCACTCTCACTTTATCTTCTCTTACGCCGTTCCATAGTTGTTGCACTTTTTGTTCCGATCCACCTCACCTCTCCATCCTATATACTGCAATCCTGCGGATCTTATTGTTTCTCAGTTTCTGTTCTCTCTCCCCTCTTGTTCCTTTCCCTCCTCTCTCCTCTACCCCCTAAATGAGATCTTTAAAATTTATTAAAATTTTGGTGGGCGGTATGTTAACGCCGCATACGCTCATTTCTTTATTTTTTTTAATTATTATTTTTTCTCATCATTACCCTTTTTTAGTGTGAATAATGGAATGAATATTTATTATTTTTTTGTAATAGGCCAGGGGATATTGTCCCTAAAATATATTATAGTTTATATTTGCCTGCGATGTGTTATCGCGTTGTATACACAACAGCCCAGCACTAATACGCTGTCTTAAGGATTAAGACTTCAAAATACGGCCGGGGCAGTCTGGAGCTGGCCTTCGTTATGGGCCCACGTAGTGGACAATTTCTCTCACCTTCCCACCAGCCACTCCAGTTAACTAAACCCCACCGGCCTAGTATCAGTGCCCTGTTGTTTTTTTCGGAAGTCTGGAGATTGCTCTTGTCGACATTAGACCCATGTAGTGGAAGTCTACCCCCACCAATCTCACCAAGCTCCAGGCCGTCTGATCTCGCAACATCTCACCTAGCGCCATTTTCGAGGATCAGCTGTAGTAATCCATACAAATCGATAGGACCCCACCATCGATTACTCGGCAGCTGGAGATCGGAAGGTAACAGGTTGGAGGCAGAACCTCCAACTTGGCTTGTTGTGTTTATTATTCTCACCAAGACATTTGAACATTTAGTTAACTGGTTTCTTCCCTAAATTTGTTTCATTCTTTTGGAAAATTCTCTTGTTTTATTTACAATTTTAGAAATTGATTTTTTTCTTTATTGATAATGGTTAATTTCTTTTATTTTCTCTGGATGTTGTATTTGTGTTTTATTTTTCTCGTAGCTTTTAAGTATTTTTTATCTCAACTTTTATATAAATTTAAATCTCTTTTTCTTTCTCAATAAATTGTAAACATTCAAAAGGGGATTTTTTTTATTTTCCATTTTTTTAATTTTATTGAAATATCTCTATTTTTTTTAAATATTTTCTTGTGAATGTATTTGTTTTTTCTCTAATGTTTTATAGGTCTCATTATTCAGTAATTTTTTTTCTCCTTCTTTCCCAACGTTTTTTAATTTTTCTCGAATTTTCCCACCATTGAGGAAACGCACCGGGGAAAGATCTGTACTTCGATTTTGAAGTACCCCTGGCCCCAACAGATAAATATGTGTTAACCTACTTATTTATTTTTAAATTCTGCATCTAACAATGCAGGTCATTAGTGGTATTAAATGGACTAAAATTAGGTGTACAAATTTGATTTCTTTTATGAATTTAATTATAATTTTTATTTTCTCTTTATCATCTGCAAGTGCTTCAAATATGGTGGAAGGTATATTGTGTTCTGTTCTCATGTCTCAGAGTACAGTCTGCAAGCTGTTACGATGTATTTCAGTGAAAGTGATGCTTTGCATATATTATAAAATGGTGTTTCCAGGCCTCTTATTAGGTAGCCAATGGTGAAGGCTATATGATCGATTCTCATTTGTGTTAAAATTATTTTCTCTGACCTGGACTTTCTTAATGAGGTTGTCCATGGTTAAATGTCTTTTTTAAGTTCTCGCTTTATAAGTTTAGTTTTATTCTTTTTTTTTTTTTTTTTTGTGGATTGTTTCCATTTGATTTGCCATTTTTCAGTTAGCATTTTTTTTTCAGCCCCATCTCCAGTCAACAATGGTGGTTAAGTTGGTCATTATGGTTCCATTTGATTTCCTTATGACGAGGTTTGCAGCCCTGCATGCTGCTTCATTTCCAGATAAGCCACAATAAGAGGGGGCACATGTGAATACAATGTCTTTGTCTGACGACTCCTTCATCTTTCAGAGGCAGTTTTTGATTTCTGGAAATAGCATTGTCAGAGTTCCTTTCAGCAATGCCTATTAGTGAACTTACAGAGTCCATAACTAGAAGGGCATACTTTATGTTGTTTTCTTTTATTAATACAAGGCCTGGACCAGTGAAGATGCTGTTTACTGGGGGCAAATTGAATTTGAGGAACTCATCTTTAAGTATTACAGCACATCCAACTTCAGAGTTGATTTTTGATGCATCCTTATAATGGGTTGTGTGTCCAAGGTATTTATGTTTTAATTCGACAAATAAGCTTTTTTTGATGAATAAGATGTCATCAGTTTGTATTTTCTTAGAAAATGCCTGTCCGTTTTTATGAAAGAGTTATTTCAATGAAAGAATAAAGCAGCATCTATTTTCACCATGTTGTCCTGTTTAAAGGAGTTTGTGGGTTCTCTTTGTTATGCCAGTAACAAGGTTGGTGATGACGTTGGTAAACTAACCGTGGTTTGGGTGGATCTTACTCCTTATTAGTTTTCAGTTAAGGATGAATAATGTCTTTCTATTGGCTCTCTAGTTCATTCCAAAAACAGCCCTGAGTATATTGAATATCTTTAATCAATCTGTTCTCAGTCTACATAAATTCAATGTATATCTCAGTTGCCTGTCCAACCACATCCCGAGAAAACGTGTATTTTCCAAGAAAGGTAAAATTTCTCCTTTCAGTAGTAATTTTTGGGTTACCAGAACAGTTTCTTTTCCAGCAGAAATAAATTCATTTGGTTTCAGTTGTTGAAAAATTGAAGCCAGTGGTTCTAGTCCATTGCTCTAATGTTCTCTAAGATGTTTTGCATTTTCCATTCTACAAAATTTATGGATTTTCTTCTGACAATTATTGTGTAGTCATCTGCAAATAACTTAAAAATTGCTGGTTTACTCTTTATAACATCATTTATGGCTATTGTAAAAATAGATGAGCTTAAAACTGATCTTTGTTAACCTACTTGAAAACATTAATTTTTTATGTATTCAAATCTTTCTTCTTTTTTTATTATATATTTTTATATAAAGAACTCACTTATTTCTATTAAGTTGGAATTTTGGAGAATGTTCCTCACTGATTCTTTTCTTAAAAGCATATTATATTGTTCTCTGTTGACCATCGGATATGGTGAATGAAACCAGACAATGTATCTTCATGATTTTCTGTCCTTCTATTTTTATAAAAGAAGATGAGGGATACTTGAAAATGTTGGGATTATCTAGATTTTGGGATTTTAAGAAATACAGAACATAGAAGAACAACAGTTCTATTTCAACCGAAAAATACAAACATATTTTTACTGACTTCAGATTTCTTATCATTGTTCGTTACTTCCTCTTAGGTAGATGAATTATCTATCTTTTTATTTGAATTTTCATATTTTTCATTCTTATTTGCCTTTTCATCTTTTTCATTTTCTTGTTTCATATTTTTGTTAGACACCACTAAGAATGCATGTTTCTTATGGAACTCACTGTTCTTACTTTTTTTTTTTCTGAAAAAAGCAGGCCTCATTCATGTGATTCCTTTTCTTACATATGTTACAAGATATGCTTTCTTTATTTTCATCATTTTTCATATAAAATCTTGCAATGTGTCTAACCTTATTACATTTAAAACATTTTCTCTTGGTTATCTTAAATGCTACTTCCTTAGGTTTGTCTGCCGATCAAGTCTCCTTGGCGAGAAATCTAGACGTCAAATGATCTTAGTTTCTCTCTTCAGTAAGGGTCAATTCCAAAGCTGTCACAAAATTCCTGTAGTTATTAGGCAATGTTTTTTATATAAGCATGTCATCGGTGATTTTTTGATCAATATCTTTTAACTGATACTGCATATTTTTCAAAGAACTAATGTGGAAAGCCGTGTCACTATCTTTTTCAAAGCTGTAGTTGAAAAATTCCCTTAGTCATAAACAATTCTGTTGTTAATTTTCTTTAACATAATTTGTTGAACATCTCTTTAGATGTCTTATGTGCGAGCATGCCTTGTTTTTCTATTTTGGAAATTATAATGTGTTGTGCTCTTGTATTGTTTTGCGTAAATGCTATTGTACCGGAACGCCACGCTGCGGTGAGTCGTGAAAAAAAGATCTGATAAGGATCTAAAAGATAACAGATAATCTGCACCAGTTACGAGACTCTCTCAACCCATTCCAAGCCAGCCACTCAGACCAGACAGAAGTCAGACCGGATAAGGGTGCACTTCTACTATCAAAGACCAAGTAACTTTCATATGCCAGTATAAAAGGGCGAGTATTTATTTGCATAATTTATGTAACCTACCACTTTCAATCAAAATACAGTCCACTGCCAAAATAATGTCGAATGTTACCTTTGTAGAACTCGTTAGAGTTATTTGTCTTTTTTAATTAAATTGGAAAGTTTCCTGAACATGCTTCTTTTCTTTTCCATTCATTTAGGATTTTTTCTTCATCAGTTTTTGTTACTTTATTTTTTGCCAAGACTATTTCATCCAATGATTTCTCAATGAATTTCCAAAGTTGAAAAGAGACCATGTTGCCCAACTTTTCTACGAAATTTGATATACTCTAATTCTAACATGTTAAGTATACATAAAAGTAACTGTTAGATATACTTTTTTATTTTTTAGCTTTAATTCTCCACTTAAACTCATCTTCACATAATCTCTTCCATTTTTAGTTTCACTTCACCACCTTTCGATTATACTTTTATGCAACTTTCCAAATGAACGTTTTTACTTTCTATTTCTAAAGTAAAATTAAGAGCCGTTAGTCGTCTCAGAGTAGCAAGTAAAGATTTTATGAAAATATACTTAAAAGATGCTACTTTGGCTATTAAATCCAGTGAGGTATGTGGTGCATGCAACTACCTTGTAATTGACCCGGTAACTCATTTTCTGATCCAATGTATCAAGTTCAACGAGCCAAGAAATAAGTACTTGAAGGCATTTATCACTGAATCCAGAGAAGATGCTAGTGTGCAGGAGATACTGAAAATAGACACTACGAAAGAAATAAACCAACTGTATTATTTCATACAGGGCTGTTCATTGAACTGTTAAGTGGTAAAGTTAATCATATAACATATATTAATGCTTATTTATATTGTCATTTGTCTTATACCTCTCTAATATTTAAAAAAAAAATAAATAAATAAAAAAAAATGTTTTACTAATTGTTATGTATATATATATATATATCGTTTACTAATCTGTTATTATATTAGTCATACTTAATGCTGTGGACATTGTTAATGTTATGTTTGAATGCAGTACTAGACTCAAGATCTAACATTGTTAATTATACCATTATATTTATTTGTACAGGAATTTCCTTAGACAAATAAAATAAACTATCTATCTATCTATCTACTTTCTGTTTCTTTCTTTATTTTCAGAATGTCCTGGGCCCATAACCTGTTGAGATTATCTAGGTTTAGGGTTTTTAAGACGTTCAGAACATTAAGGAACAACAGTTTTAATCTAACCAAAAAATACAAACTTGAAAAAGATAATAATGTTACAAAAGCACACATGTGTGACATAAATTAAGATTCACACAATTGATTTGTATATACACATGATTGATATAATAAAAATAAAATCACTTTAATAGGAAAATAATCATGGAAAGAGTATGTGTAATTAGTAGGTAGGTATGTGCTCACAAAATTCTCCAAAATTTGACAAGCGAGCATCTGTCATTAAAAATTTTGTTGGTTCCTTGCATTTATTTTCTATTTTACTGCATAAAACTGTCCATACACCCTCCCTTTCCTCAGTTTTTATTTTTTATAACATTTTTATTTTGCCAGTTTGGATTACTGGAGTGTTCGGAATACAATATTTGGGATTACAGAGATTGCATTGCAATTAATTTTAAAATAAAGTTAATGTATTGATTCAAATTTAAAACTTAAAAATCATGCCAAATATAATTTTTAAATAATCAATGAAAATAAAAACTCAAAAAAAAAAAAAGACAGAAATCACTGTCATGATATTGTTGGAAGATTCCAAAACAAAGCCTTATCAGGTACAATACATCTCGCTTAAACAATCTAAAGAATACAATCCAAATAGAGACAGTGCATCATCCCCAGACAGTTTAGAATATACTCTATTTGGTTTGTGTATTTTAGATGTGTTTATATGAATATCGTGTTCAAGGTTGGGTGACATGCTGTCTGTGGTCTTCATTTCATCTCTCTTAATGATGGTGAAACATTTACTGGTTATTGGAGAGACTTAAGGATTTCCTTTGGAATCCTTCAATAATATCAAAATATTATTTTTAATTTAAAATTACAAGATTCAAATTAATAATTGAAACATGTGTTTGTTGTGTGACCTGAATAAAAACGAACATACTTCATTAATGAAATTTCAATTTATTTTCAAAGGGAGCCAGTAATGGGAATAAATTGTTTCAAAGCGAATTGCTAGTTTTCAACTGAACTGAAGTAGCTTCAATGCTCTTCTAAAATCAACTAGGAAATATTTGAAATGAACTGCTATTAAAAAAAACTATCCTTATCATTGAGATAATAACTAGCATTATTCATTATTAATCACTAACAATATGAATCTTCCTTTTTTTTAATTTGATGCAATAGGAGCTCACCATTTTCCATAGTGGTAGATATATGCACAGTTTTCTGTGATTGTAGTTCAGTTGTTTGTCCAGGAAATGGGATCAGAAGCATACCAACTTCATATTGTGATTCAGGTTTTAAATCTTCAATTGTATAACTTGTTACTGCTCTATGAATCAAAGGGGTTGCTTGGTACACCTAAATATATAGATGATTTAAAATTTAATTAAATTACTACAAAGTTTTATAATCTTTTAGTTTGAGAAAACTTTGATTTAAAATTTACCATTTATTTAATCAATTAATCACCATTAAACTCAAAATCATATTATTAAATATATTTTTATTTTAACAATAAGAGTTTATTAAAACATAAAATATTAAGAAAGTAAAACATATATATATATATGATAAATGATAAAATACAAATAATTTACAAAGGAAATATTATCTTTTATTAGATGAAATTCAAAATCAAAGAATATATGAACATTTTATTTTAAAAGTAATGTTTTTGATGAGCTTCATGGTAAACCATTTAGTTTTCCTAACCTAATTAATTTCCACTAAAGAAAATTCTATGCATAGAAAGGAAAAGAAAAAAATCGACTTTAAAATTCAATAGATGAGATTCATGCACCAATAACCTTCAGCAAATACTTTCTTGAAAAAGCTATTTAGAAATCATCTTTAATTTTTTTAAATAATAATTTTTTTATTGGAATATTAATACAATATTTTAAATCATGGCTTTCAAAACATTATTTTAAATCCATCAAGTAATCAAGAAAAAAAAATCTTACTTTTCCTTCAATTTCTTTGTATCTCAACTGAACACCATCAATAAATTGTAATTCTTTTTCTGCAAACTTTCTCCAAGATAGAGTAGCTGAAGTTGAGTTGACGTCAACAACATGTAAATCAGGGTCTACAGGAATCGCAGGAGGTAAGGTTGGAGTTGAAAATGCTAGAAAGAACAATAAAGTTAAGACACCAAATGAAAAATGGCAACAAATAGATTAAATTTTTCTTTGAACAATCCTTACATGCTGGCGGTGTTTTAACTGTCAGTATCTGACTGACAGGGGAATTATCCAAGTCCCGCATAACAACAGTTATTTTTATTTTATATTCAGTATTAGCTGTTAAACCTTCAAGTTTAAATTCAAGTTCAGGAGTAGCAATAATATCATCGGGTGGCGCTAATACTTGTTGTTCCCAAGTGTCAGGGTCACTGTTTCTAAAAAAAGAAAGAAAAAATTTTTAGATGTCAAATATGAATAATTTAACCTAACTATTGGAAAAAGGAAAGTAATAAAAATTAATAGCCTTTACATTTTTTAAATGATTACAATATATAAACAAATATCAGTACTGTTTAGTTTATTTATAATAATCATTACTTTGTCTTCATTAAATCATAAAGTATAATGAATTTCTAAATAACTGAAAACTTGTGTATTAAAAACAGTTGTGATTTACTAAAACACCTCAACATTTTATGAACTATATATAATTTTTTTTTATTCTTTTATAATTTGCTCATTCATGTTACTTTGAAAAGCAATATAGTTTCAAATTTATAATAACATAAAAAAATATGACTCAAAGATAGCCTTGATAAAATTCTTTACAATCTTGCTGAATTTTAACTACACCATATGAAAAACCACTGAAATAAGAAAATATTGTCCCTACCAAATACAAAACTTAAAATCCTAGGAGCTTTTGCAAATTAGCACCATCAGTAATTTTTAAATAGGAAAAGTGATAGTTATCGAATAGTGTCAGTTATATTTGAAACAATGTTATTCTTCTATTATACAAACATCTGTTAACAGATTTTTCAGCAAAACGAGCTCCTTTAGGTTATACTCCAGTTTGAAGAGGGATGAGAGGGAAGCCTTTAAATTTTATCAGAAATATAGAATTATCCATAAGGAAAGGTTCTTTAATTAAGGGCCCTCATAGAAATAAATGGTGCTTATGAAAGGTGGAGGTTTTATGCACGTTCATATAGAAATGAGAAGGGAATTTTCTCCAATACATAGAGCATACATGATTACCTTTAACCACTCCCATGTTATTTACTAAACATGTGAATTAGGTTAATTATAATTAAAGCTTTCCATAACATGTTTTTCTTTAATCACATAAAATAACAGGTTACTATTAAAAAATTTGGTCCAGTGCACCCACCACACAACTTTCATTTACCAACCTTAGAGTAAATAGGTATTTTTTTTATAGGAAGTCGAAGTGAAAGCAATGGTATAATTGTATTTAAAAAAATTAATTACCATGTTTTTTCTGCCCATCGAATTAGTTAAATTAATACACTTGAATCACATTCCATTTCTTTTACAACTGTGTATAATATTAAACAATCCTATGATTATGGAGAAAATGGATGTTTTGGAAAAAGTTCATAGTTTTATCAGAAACATTTATCATGAAATTATACACTATAGCTACTCTTATTTCTACTTAAGTTGCCAATAAATTTTCTACATTCCCAATATTTAACTATTTTTAATAGCAGGTTCAACTGTGAAATAGTTAATTATTTCAAATAAAAAAAATTAGAGAAAGAAATTTTGGAAAATAAGCAATTAAGTTCTGTTTGGTTGCATCAATGAAGAAAAAACTTACTTTAAATTATAAACCACTTAATAATACCTAGTGTGTTTAATCAAAATTGTTAGAGCCCTTTTTGAGAAAGTCCTAAAATGTGTTAAGTCAATGATATAGAGTAGCACTTGTGGTTTGCCGATTTTGCCGAAAAAGTTGCTGTAATATCTCAGGCTTATACAAACCTTGTATATGCAATTTTAATTTCGTACGACTTTTCGTTTTTGTGGTAGGCTGTTAAATAATAAATACAAACACACACACACACCAGGACTTAGTTATTTGGACTCAGGGGACCTCAAAACATGTATTTCCATTGAAAACTCAGATTAAAAAGTTTTCATGATCGCTATACTTACCCTTACTAGAAACAAAGAAAGAAAGAAAGTAAATTTTATTCTGGGACATTTGGTCCCCTCAGAATAACTATAATGAACAAAGAAATCACAATTATCTGGCGATTGTGAATAATTAAATGACAATTAAAAATAAATACTATATATTACATATATAGGTAAATGAAAGTAAAAATAATTGGTGGGGCTAATCTGCAAACGACCCAAACCCTACACATGTACGATTGTTTTTTTTTATTTTAGAGACAAGCAAAGATTTTCTTTTTTAATTTTTCTTGAATTAATTTAAAGAAATTTCAAAATATGAATTATAATTTAAAAAATAATTACATTCTTCTTTAATAATCATAACATGTTTATCTTTATTTAATTTGGTAAATATTCAATTTAAAAAATGTTTATGGTTTTGTAAACATCAATGTGTGGTAGTATATCTTCCATCCTTTGACTGTTGTGAAGATAAAATGAAATAGTTTTAAAAAAATCTGATAGTATTATGACAAAGAAATATTTTGAAATAAAAATCTGATTTGATGATAAACAACTTTATTTTGATTTTTAATTAATAATGGGATCTTTATTTAATTTTTTTAATATTAGTTTTAATTATGTTTTTTAATTTGATCTTTTAAAATAAAACAAAAACTAAATTAAAATATTACTGCCACTATATTTTTTAGGATTCTAATGTAAATTGTCAATTTAATTAATCATAATTTATTATTAAAAACCCTATCATTAATATACAGTAATCATATAGAACGTTCTTTTTTTTTAAATAAAAAAATTTGTATATAATCTTGTAGTTGGCTTGTGTTGTGCAGTGGCACACTCATAGTAAAACATAAATTTTCTAAAACAAAACTTGAATTTTGCCATCTCTGATTCTATCTATTCATATTTACATTGATAAGCTATTAATTTCACCATCAACAGATATGGTATGTAAACGAATAACAAGATAACTTTTAGTTGTCATTATAGAATAACACAAATGATGAATTATCTTGTAATTGGTAGTCAGGGTGATTTAAAAAACAACAGAGCTAAAAAAATAGTAATTACATCTTCTACATTATAAATAATATTTAATTTTAAAAATATTATTTCAACTTTTAAACTATTATTGCTCATGGATAATAGAATTGATTCATAAGCTAAAAGTACAAATCCTTTAAATAATAAAAAAAGTTTTATTAAAACTACTATTGTTACATTACATATCATACTTATTATCAGCAGTATATCGCAACTCAACTCGCCCATGAAGTCCAACTAAAATCATAGGAACAGAAAACACAAGTCGGACAGTGTTTTCATCTATTGCTTCCAATGCATGAACCGTAATTGAATCTGAAATAAAAACTCATTTAAAAGCTTATAAGTTTATTTTTCTTAAATGTACAGTAAGAACTTAAAATTGATCAATACTTAGTTAAAATTGGATTGGTCTTCTATAATGTAATATATTAGTCATTGTAGTAATTTGAATTATTAAAAATTCAAATTTAAAGAAGTCACTCATAAGTTAGTTGGAAAAAATCTTGGATTAAATAAAAAATACTCTAATAATGATACTATATTTAGTACAACAACCTATAAAATTGTAATATCTGATAAATTGAAATTACTTTGAAGTGTATGATAATAAATACAAATTATGTATGTTATATACCTTAAGATGGGGTAACTTAGCGACTGGGTGAGTAACTTTGGGGCAGCGGGTATAATTTAGTTTGTGGTGATTCTGTGGTGGATACACTGTGTTGGTTCTGTCTGCAAAATCATGCTTTGTGTAGGCATGTACTGAGCCAATAACTTGCGGTAGTTTGAGAGCCCTAGTTCACTACACTCGTTGTGCAGTTAGGTTTCATTTATTTCCATTGCATTTTCCAAAATTCTTGTTTTCATGAAACTTTCACTTGTGACTAAAGAGTAGTGTGCCCCATGGTAGTAGCGCAGTACATGCCTACACATTTTTGCAGACTGAACCAATACAGTGTATCTGCCACGGAATCGCCACAAACTAAATTTTACCCGCTGTCTCAAAGTTACCTCATCTTAGGGTATGTGTATTTATTATATATGTGTGTCATTTAAATTTAGAAAACTTCATGCAATATTACAGGCATCTATGGTGCACTTAAACTGGTTTTAAAGCATTAAAGCAGTGCAGTGTAATCATTAAGCATAAAAAGCAGAAATTTATTCATAAAATATATATTTCAATTATGAATCTAAACAAAATGTATTTTTGAATGATTTTTATTTTGTCTATAAAGTAAATTAAAATTCAAGTTTATATCAATTTTATTAATCAAAGAAAGGAATATTTACCTTGTTTTGTTTATTTTAATGAAAAAATAACTCACTTTTTTCATGAGAAGGGTGATTACCAAAATCTTGAGGATGATATTGTTGACTAACACCTTAAACAAATCAAAAAGTATATGATAATAATTTTAAATCTAATAATTTTCAATAGAACATTTTTTTTTTTATGGCATAATTTTTCAGGAATTGGCTGAAATCCTGGAAATAAAAGATGATATCCTAATATTTTTGTTTGCTTGTGTGAATTAATAATAATTCATATAAGGAAAAATACCATTGGTCTATGAACATATGGCATCTATACTCTGATTTTATTGTAATAGCTGAATAATATAGATTATGGGAGAATTTCTTGTGTGAGAGGATACAAAAAGAGCATAGGTATTATAAAAAATGGCCTAAATGGAAAAATTTGATCCATTATTTTGTAACTGTTATTTTTTTTTTGCTTTGCTTTGCTGTGAATCTTTGCTTCTATCCTCAAGATCTCCACCAGTCATTAATTCTTACAAAGGTGGACAAAAAAGGATAGCCGGAAAATATTTTTTCTAGGATATTTAATAATTTGAGAATGTAATAAAAGAATAATAATATGACCAATGAACAACTAGAAGCAGAATTTTAATTATTACAACTTGAAATAGTCACTGTCCTAGTGGGAGATGAAAACAGTTAAGAACTGAGATAGAGTTGGTTTTATTGGGTACAAATATCACACTTATTTTTAACAAAAAATATTTTATATCTAAATAAATTTATATATATATATATATATACACGGTGTATCGTAAGTAGAGGGAAATATTTAAATTGTTGATAGTAGGCATCAAGATCTACAAAAAAGTTCATATAAAGTTGCCCAATTTCCATTAGAAAAGTAGGAAATTTACTATATGTGTTTTTTATGGCAGTCACGTTTTTTGTTGACTAGGAAGCGATAACATAAAAAATATTTGACTAAAGTAACTGAACATTACTCTATAATAAACTACACAAAATTTACTTTAAACAAAAGAAGAGTTTATCATTGTTAAAACAATTTAAAGAGGACTATTGGTCAGATAAACACAGCTAAGTTTTGTCTAAAAAAAAAATTATAAATTATTTGTGATTTATTACAGTAACTGTACTACATTTACTCAACTTTTACAAAAACTTTATCATTTAATAAGATTTAAGTAAATATTAATTAATTTAAGTTTTACTAGGAAACATTCTGATATTCACCTCAAGTTGTGTAAAGAAATGATGTGATATTCTATCCAGTCATTTTAAAGTACCCTTGTCCTATGCAAAAATGAGTACAATTAAATATTGCAAAGCTTTCATTTCTTGTTTTTCCCAGATATGGGATGTATTTTAATAAACATAATTCCCTAAAAACACATTTTATTTATAAATATAAAAAATTTAAAATAATATTTTTTTAAATATTTTTCATGCAAAGTGGTTATGATATGAAACTGTGTTTTTCTCTCAGATTTCCGTCATAGGAACTGATATGTATTTATCAGTGACAAACTTAATCTTTCTTACAAAAATTTACATTTAAAATAAAGAAACCTACTGATTGCTTCAATTACTTTTATGAACACGTAAATATTAGGGATAGAAACATTAAGTTTGTCACTTATAAATACACATAAATTCCTATGACAGAAATTTGGGAGAAAATGCAATTTCATAACCACCTACCAAAAAATATTTTTAAAATTATTATTTTTAATTTTTATTAAAAAATATGTTTTTAGGCAATTATGTTTATTTAAATACATCATATATACCAGAAAAACAAGAAATGAAAGCTATTCAACAGTTAATTGTAGCCATTTTTGTAGAAAACAAGGGTACTTTGAAGTGACTGGATAGGAAATCACATTTCTTTACTCCACTTGATATGAATCTCAACATTTTTCCTAATAAACCTCAACTTAATTAAAGTGTACTTAAAGCTTATTTATTAAACCAGGAAGTTTTGGTAAAAGTGGGGTAAATGCAGTACAGTTAAAGATTGATAAAAAAAATCACAAATAATTTATGACTCTTTGTAAACAAAACTTAGCTGTGTTTGTCCGCCCAATAGTTTTATTCCTCTTTATATAATTTTAACAATGACAAACTCTATTTTTGTTTAAAGTATATTTTATCTCATTTACTATAGATCAATGTTTTGTTACTTAAATCAAATAATTTTTAGGTTATCACTTTCTGTTAAAAAAAAAGTGACTCGCTTAAAAAAAACATAAATCTTAAAATTCCTACTTTTCTGATGGAAATTGAGCAATTGTTTATATGAACTTTTTTTTTAGATCTTGATATCTACTATCAGCCTTTTAAATATTTCCTTCTACTTACAGGACACCCTATGTACATACATACATACATACACACACACAAACACACATATATATATATATATATATATATATATATATATATATATATATATATATATATATATATAAATACAATACCATATATATATGGTATATCAGAATCAGTAAATCTGGCCAGGTGGTGATTTCACACTTTATTTGCAACAATTTAGTTGAAAAAAAACTGTTTAATTTAGGTTAATTACCAATTGTAGCATAGTAAATTAGACAAAATTTCCTTCAAGCCTAGTGGAATTGTCTCATTAAATAAGGTTAAAGTCCACAAAAGGTAGGTTGAAATTTGTAACAAAAGAAGCTGAGATTTTCTGCCAGTTATATAAAAAAATTGTATGATGTAAAATATTGTTACCTCAAAGTACCAGTGTCTTTACCAAAAATATTCACAAAAATTATTTCATTAATTAACAAAAATTATTTCAATCGATTGTTTATGGTCTATATTTATGAATTCTTAGTAAAATTAATTAATAAGATTATTTAAATCTATTATTTATGATCTGAATTTATGAATTATCAGTAAAATTAACTAATCAGGTTATTTAAAAATTATTTCAAATTGTTTATGTATTTTTTTCTGTGACCAGATATATATTGTAATAAGTTAATTAATAAAATATATTTATTTCTAATTAATAATAAATTTATACTAAAAAATACTTTTTCAAAAAAATGTTAACTAAAGTGCACCAATGCTTTTTAAACAGATCTCAATTATGGGACTTGATCTTTACTGTATTAGGTAACCTCCTAAATATTGCTATTTTTTTATTCTGATTCCAATATTTAAGTTCCCATTAAAATATATTTCTAACACTTGGCAGGATTTTATTTTTTAAATATTGAGTAATAATAAAAACATGAAAAAAATCAGAAAGTTTTATAAAAGCATGAGAGAATTTCAGAATAGCTATATACCAATGCTGTAATTCATTAAAGATAGTGGGGGAATCTGGTAAGAGATAAAAGATCTTTCCTAGAAAGATGGAAGCAGTTCTTCGCAGAACTACTGAACCCAAATACAGTATTATCAATCAATAAAAATAAACTGTCCCAATATAAAAGAGACCCAATGGTTGAATATCACTCCATCATAACAGAGCTCCTGGAATAGACAGTATTCTGAATAAGTTTCTGAAATATGGTAGTTAGATACTGGTGAAGGAGATACATAACCTTATATTTGACATCTGGACGGAAATGAAAATGTTACAGAATTGGAATGTGGCAGTTTTGTGCCCAATACATCAGAAGGGAGACAAGTTAACCTGCCAAAACAACAAGGTATCTTCCTGCTGTCCACTGTCTACAAGATTCTCTAGAATGAAATAAACAGAAGTATTATGACATGGGCAGAGAGAAATATTGGTGAATACCAAAGTGGCTTTCGACCATGTCATACAATAGACCAGGGGTCTCCAAACTTTTTGGCCCTTCGGGCCACATTGAGACCTTGACCAAGTTTCACGGGCTGTATTGAGACTTCTAACCGGCCATGGCTTTTGATGAAAAAAATATATTAATGTATAAATGACACTTGACACTGTGAAATGAGCTTTCTAAGAGAAAAAAAAAAACATGCATAAATGGTGTAGTAGCGTCGAGGGTGAGTACTTTGCTAAATTTCACATTTTAAATAATTTATAAATTTTTACCATGTAATCAAAGAAACATTCATGTACCTAATTGAAGATGCCGCATCTGGCTCGCGGGTAGTAGTTTGGAGACCTTTGCAACAGACAATAGACCATACTTCTCCATTTATCAAAAGCTGGAGAAGGCATATGAATATACCTCCACCAATCTCTTCTTTGATTCCCATTAAGCACATGATAGTCTTAATTGGAAGGAACTACTTAAAGTCATGAAAGCACTTGGAGTTCCGTAAAAGCTAGTAGGATTGAGCGCAATGGCCCTTGAAAACACCAGATGCAGGGAAAGTTGGCAGTTTCAAATACCTATGATCTTCAGTGACAGGCTAAAACTACATCACAATGGAAATAAAAGCTAGAATCACAGCAGGCAATAGATGTGTTTTTGTACTATGGAAAACATTGCATTTTCAAGTTAATAAAACCATCTTGACACCAATTGAAACTTATGCAGATAAAACGTGGATTCGGACACAGGAATGCTAGAAGATCCCAGGATCTGGGAAAGGAAGGTCCTTCAGCAGATCTTTGGGCCAGTATGTATAGATAGCCAATTGAAAATAAGAAGTAATAGAGAACTTCGGGAATTGTATAATGAACCAGACATAGCCACTTATGTTAAATCAAGCCATATAAGATGGCTTGGGCACATAGAAAGGATGGGAGAAGATAGATATCCGAAAGAAAAACTATTATATGGCATACCAGGAGGCAAAGGCAAAAAAGGAGAAGAAGGGCCAGACTGAGATGGATCGATGATGTGGAGGATGATTTACAGAAGACGGAAATCAGGCGAATTTAAAGGATTTATAATTAATTTTAGTAAAAACACTGCTACTTTGAGGAGACATAATTTCATACCATAAATAAATTTTTTAAAATAAACTGAAGGGGCATTTCAACTTATTCTGTAACAAACATCAACTTAACTAATATGAATCTAAACCATATTAAACAAGAAATCAGAAAAAGATGATAAAGAAACTCATGATTAATCCATAATTTTATGAAAAACTAAACACAGAGTGGTTTAGCTGCTTAAGAGCTTTCTTAAATGGTTAATACTGAAACGAATTCTACTTATGATTAAATAAAATGTTATCTATTTTACAATGCTGCAATTGGTAATTACCTAAATTAAACTGCTTATAGTTATTGTTTCTTATTTAACAAAAAAACAAGAGTTATTTAAAAACACAAAATTTTTGGAATCTTTCGGTTTTTCTGTGTGGAACCGGACCTGTGATTTGCTGGTGCTGCTACACTCTGTTTTTTGTATATTAAGTTACACCACAACTCAAAATAATATTAACTTGGTTTGTGTGTCTGATTTTTCATTATATTGCATTTCTCGTCTAAATTTGTCCACAGGTCACAATTAAAAAACATGTATATTTTTGTTAACATTTCAGAGATGCTATGTTCTTTTCTCTAGCATCTAATATGCAATAGATAAAATTTAAAAATAAAAAACTCCCCAAAATATTGTTACACTTTTTTATTTATTTATTTGTAGACTGGTTTAGTAAATTTAAGTTATTTAAAAAATTATACAGTGTCAAGGTATTATTTTGCTAGTACTGCCCACAGCAGTGACCTCCATCCCTGACTTTACGCACATCTATTTCGCTGAAACTGCTCACCCTAGGAATTAGATTATGAGGTTAGGTTATGTCTGTACAATAAAATGTTGACCAGCCTTCAATCGTTCGACAAAATGTTGACTTCCTGTAATATTTTGAATAGAAAATATCAGCCACATGATAAAAGTAATATGAAGAAATAATTTAAGAATAGATGATGTATCTCTGATTTTTTAAAAAATCATTACTCATTATTAGTACAATCATTACAGTATTAAATATCATATTGTCAGTTTATTGCAATAGTCATCAAGTAACATTTCATAAAATTAAATCATTAAGAACTTTGCTGAATTTCTCCTCAGTAAAAGCAAAACGTGCACTTGTTGTAACTATGTTTGAAATATAAAAGGTCTCTGTTTATTTTGTAATTTTTAGTGTGTTTATGAACTGACAGATTTTATGGACAAAAAATTTGACTGTTTGCAATAAACCGATAATATATTTATAATGACATCACAATGGATATTGTTTTATCATCAAGTAATTATTAAATCAGCACTTTAATGAAAAAGACAAACTGATTTTTCAATGTTCGGTTTTGAGTATTTGAGATTTTTTTTTAAGTTAGTTGCATTTAGGCATATTTGAATTTCTATTTAAAATATTCTTGTTATTTCAAGTTTACAAAAAATATTAGCTATATTTTATATAAATTTTAAACAATTCTTCATTTAATTTTGTTAGGGTTGATGAAAAAAAGGCAAATGAAATGAAGCTAGATGATTGTTAAGGTAAAAGAAGACTTGAGAAAAAATGGCATATCCATCAGGTACACAGCCAACAGGGATGACTGGGCAAAGGAAATTGAGCAGGCCAAGGACTGCTACATACGTCTGTTGTGCCAATAATGAATGAATGAAGATGATTATTATCATCAAAACCCTTCTCCCATATGATAAAATAACCTATAACCAATTTACTGCCGACAGCTTTACTGTTTCTGGAGAGGTCAGAAAAGAGCAATACAGATATTATGTCCAGCAAAATAGTATAAGCAATTTGAGAGATTTCTTTAACTATTTTATTTTATTGTTTCTATTACATTTTAGATGCTGAAGAGGAAGACATAAGATCCATGAAATGTTCGAATAAAAATAACTTGAACACAATTGTGTATTGAGGCCAAATTTGGAGGAGAAATAAATATTTTAAAAATAATAATGAATATAACTTTGAAAATAGATAAATCATCTTGATATTGAAGAAGAAATACACTATTCTTCATTAATGTTGCACTTTAAAATTTTTGCTTATGCATTAATATAAATTTACTGAAATCATTGAATTTAATAATAACTATTATCAAAAAGTTAAAATGAAATCATACTTTTCTAGTAGGAACAAGTTAAATCTTTGAATGGATTTTTCAAAATAAGTTTTAGACAAACCTTGCCCATAATTTGAAGGCTGTGAGGATATTACAAACACATGAGTATCTTTAGATTGTGAGTCATCATGTTTAATATTATCAATTATGTCTTCTAGTTTCAGTCCAGTCGTTGATAAATGTTCGTGAAGGTAAGAAGCATCATTCTTGTAGCCATTTGGGGAAAATGCCGTGAAGTATGGATGCTCGTTTGGTACAGTCATTGGTCTTGGTTGATCATGTTTTAAGTCGTAATTCTCAGTAGGTAGAAATGGTGAACTTAAAACAGGATTTTGAGTGAATGGTTTTTGTCTATGGAAAATTTGTTGATGGATTCCACCAATCAGGCTCAGAATTTGTTGTGGGTCATTTTCATGATGGGGATGATGATGGATTACTTCGTAATCAGAATAGTCATTTTGATGTGGAACATTCTTTTTTATTTCATATGGTACTGCATTCAACAGATTTTTCTGATGAATTGGATGTTTCAAAGGCACTAAATGTAACTTGGAATCTGTGAGCCCTAAGTCTTCACTTGAATAAGGATCAAAAACTGGCCTTTGTTGTTGATTGTTCTGAAAAGATATGCTTTTGTCACCATTGATAGAAGTCTCAGTATTTTGAAAAGTTGGGACTTTGTTAAAAATGTGTTGTTCATTTGGATTAATATTTAGATAAGGAATTCCTTTTTTTACGGCTACCTCAATTTGTGATTCATTAAAATTATTTAACTTTTTGCTTATTATTCCAACAGGGGTAACTTTAAAATCAGACTCATTAGTGATATTTTCATTAATAATCTTGATTCCAGCATAATTAAAATGCTCTTTCGTTTTGTTATTAAAATTACTGTTTATATCTGTATAAGAAGTTACATTAGTAGAGAAATCATTTTCATGTTTCATTGAATTTTGAGGTTGGGGTGGCTTGTTTTCAAGTAAGGAGGTTTTATTTAAAAGATAATTAGGATTATATGGTCCCAGGAAGGGTTCAAAAGGCACTTCATTAGCATATTTGTTTATGGTCTTGTCATCAGTCATTTTCATTTCATTGTAGACAGTCCCTGCAATATTAGAATAAAATATCTTATAAAATTAGAATGATAAATTCCAAAATAAAAAAATTGTCAGGAAATTAAAACATAGCATTGTACAAGACCATAGACGCCGACTACTACTACTAGGGGCTCTTGGGGCTTAAGCCCTCCAATGCTGCTATGGTAGGAGCTCAGACTCCCCAACAAATTGCTATTGTATGAACTTCATGATCATATCGATCGTGTACATTACAATTCCATTACAAAGGACTGTATCTATCTACTAGCTGATATAGTGAAATTTGTTAAGGGTGTCATATTTAGGATTTATAAACTCATCTAAACTTTAAAGAGAATCATCTATCAAAATATTGTACTGTATTAGTTTAAATTTTTGTCATCAGAGAGCGCTTGAAACAACTCAATACCAATGCCAGAGATAGTAATTTTTCATATAGACATATATTATATATTACATTAAGGCATGCAGGATGTTTCCAGACAATATCCCCACACTTCTAGGCCCTCTGCACCGCGATCTTATAGTTTGATCCCCCTAAATAATTTTCGTAAGTCGGCGCCTATGTACAAGAAAAATGCTTTAACATGAATTATTTTATTTTTGACAAAAGAAATTTTCTTTTTATATACATTTTTTCATATTTATTAAATTAGTAAACTGTTTGATTCTATTTTAATTGAAAACTTTAGTATTATTAGCTATTGCATTTATAATACTTTTTGCAAGAAATTCATTGGTAAAAGTCAAATGGTCAAGTTGTCACAATATATCTACCTAAGGGAAGTCTCAATTATTTGTTTTGTATATGTAACTACAGGATTATGAAATTTAATTATAATAATTTTAAAAATAGGTTTTTTTCTAATTAATAAGTTTTCTATTCAGTATTAAATTTTAATTTATCAAAATAATCACTTTTTTATAACATATTTCAATGAATCTTCTCAAAGACAAGATTCCTTTATTACTTCACTATTGTGTCAAGTAATCATAACGCAATTATATATTAATGCAAATATAATATTCATATTAATTTTTTGCATCAATTTGATAGTAATGAAAGTCAAACAAAAAATTAAAATAAAAATAATAAGGAAAACATAAAATTTAAAATAAAGTAGAAGAAGTCTCTTATTTCTCTCCATCTACCTTTATAATTAATTCATTTAAAACAAAGTAATTTAATAAGTAAAATTACAAAAAGTCCTTTTAATAACAAAAATTTAAATTAAATTAATACTATTTCATATAAATAGTGTATAGACCATAGAAAAAACGTAGATGGTTGTCTAGGGAAAATAGTTCAGGGACGGAAAAATCTTTAAAGCTGTATGATGAAATGTTGAATGACATTTTATCTATACCGTGAAATTTACTTTTTTTTTTAAACAGCACACACTAATCAGTTTTATTTTATTTAACACTTAAACACATGGTAACAATAGGGTGGTATTGGTGAGCCTCAATCAAGGTGAGTCTCAATTTGGTTTAGGGTTTTAAGAGGTGGATGAGATCATGGGTACAGAAATTATTTCCGCTTAGAATACCATGAAACCTAGGACTGCCCCTGCACTGTATCTACGTTAGAGCAAAATAAATACTATCAAATCAATAACAAGAGAGATAACGACTGCTATTCCAGAAGTACTCCGGTGCAATAAGCATAAAAAGGGGGGAAAGTACTAAACAGGTAATACTCAATGTCCTTACCATTAGAAGAAGGACACATCCAGTGTAAACAGCAGTTATCATCAGGTGGATGTGCAACAATGGGAACCGCATTGGAAGCACAATGCATGTCTTGAGGAGGTGTAGCGGGAATAGGAGGACATCTTGGCATACAATTAACATTACCAGCTTGGCAATAGCATTTCATTTCACAACCACTTAATTTGGTAGGTATATCAGACCAGTTTTCAAATCTGAAAACATAATTTATAATTTTTATAGTTTTAGTTAATTTAACTGAAAAGTTAGAACACATGTTAAATTAAATCTTACGTTTCTCCTTTGTAAACACATGATCCGTTATTAACACACACCACTGAATCTGGACAACACCTTGGTGGAGTTGGTTTAAAATCAACTGGCCTGTTTTCCCACTTCAAACACTGTGGATCTAAAACATCTAAGCCAAAGTCAGTTGGGCATTCAATTGCTGCACATTCTACACCTTCCTCTGCACACATGCAGTATGCTGTACAACCATCATGAAATTCAACCCCTGTAATATATTAAGTACTTTAAATAATGAATTATTTTTAAAGTAATTAGATAAGAAGTAATTTTTTTAAAACTATAACATTAATAAATTTAATAATTATTTAATGGAGTTCAACCTTTTTTATATGTTTTGCCTTTGTATTCACAAAGTGATGAGTTCACACTTAATTTTGGAAGTGTGCTAGAAACTATATTTGATACACCAGAAGCAGATACTACTCGAAAATAGTATGTATTCCCTGGTTTTAGGTCCTGTACAATATGTCCTGATGTTTTAGCTATCAACCATGTAGATTTATCTTGGCTAATTTCTGCTTGGATATGATCTGGTACAGTTAAGCTATCAAAATTCAAAATCACTGCAGAATTATTAGCAGGTACAGCAGAAACTAAGTTAAGTTCAACAAAGTCATCACTATCTTCATCCAATCCTAGAACATTTGGACAGCAAAATTAAAAAAAAAAACTGTAGTGATAATTTAAAAGAAATACACTGACAGGCAAAAAATTCCACCCACTTGATTTTTTCATATTTTCATCTAAAAATATTTCTGCTTTGGATTAGTCTATTGTTTTTAATGAATAAATAGGTAATCTTTTTGTTTGTTTTCAATTAGGAATGTTAATATAGTGGACAATAATCCTTAATCCTTAATTCAATGAAATGATTCTAGATTCCTATGTTTACTTTCTTTGGAATCAAAATGTTTATTCAGTATCATTAGTTCAGTGCCGTTTCTTGCAGCACATTTCTTAGTCTCCGGCTTTTAATTTTTTCAATATTAAGTTTAAAAATGCCTCTTAGTGCTGAGGATGTTGCGCATGGTGTAGCACTTATTGATGATGGACGTTCCATTAGATATGCAGCTATCGGAGTTCCATATGAAACTTTACGAGACACCGTCAGGCATTTTCGGGAAACTAGTTCTTACAATAGAAGGCCCTGTTCTGGACGGCCTAGGGTAACAGAACCACGGGATGACAGGTTTTTGACTTTAAGAATTTTATGAAACCGGCACCTTACCGTTGTTCAAGTGATTCATCAGCTCGAAGAAGTTCGAGGTGTGCAAACTTCTGAACGTACCGCTCGGAGAAGATTAAATGAATATGGATTAATGGCATTTCGTCTAGTAAGAGGACCAGAGTTGACCAGAACTCACAGAGTAACACGGCTGGCTTTTGCTCGAGAACAGCCATTGGACTATGGATGAATGGAGTGCTGTACTTTTTACAGATGAGTCAAGATTCGCTCCTGATACACTGCAGGACCTTGAAAGGGCTCTTCTCCAGCAAAGGGACATTTCCTGACTGGTGGAAAGTATGCCAAGGCCTCTTCAAGAAGTAGTGAAGGCAAGAGGAGGAAACACGCGCTACTAAACGATGATGTAATTAATTTCTTTTAGAATAATAATGGTTTGTTTTGGAATCTTGGAAACATTGGAATCTAGAATCATTTCATTGAATTAAGGATTAAGGGTTATTGTCCTCTATATTAACATTCCTAATTGAAAACAAACAAAAAGATTACCTATTTATTCATTAAAAACAATAGACCAATCCAAAGCAGAAATAGTTTTAGATGAAAACATGAAAAAATCAAGTGGGTGGAAGTTTTTGCCTATCAGTGTATGTTAGTTTTTAATTGGAATTTTAGATGTTAACTCTAAATTATAGTTTAAATATTTTATAAAATTAATTCAGTATCATAAAAATAACGATTATTATATATCATGCTAGAACTAATATTTCTACAGTGGTGAAGAAAAGCATGATAATACAATTCGAATAATTTCACAGTAGAGAAAATTTTTAATTTTCTTAACTTAGAAAAGGGTGTAAAGGTTTATGAAATGTGATTTAACAATTGATAGAGTCCAACTGGTAACCTAAACAAAAATTATTAGGTTACCAGCCCATGATTATAAAAAAAAAAAGACTATCTGATCAGACTGGCTTTGACAAAATAATAGAAAAATTGAATTTTTCCCACAAGTTTTTACAAGTTGAATAATAATATCATCTACTAGATGAAGGAATGAACACCCAACTGCTTATTTTTAAAGTGATAAAACAAAAATCAAGAAATTGGACATATCATGTTTTAAAAAACCACTACAAAACCATTAAATTTGAATTGTTTTGTTCAAGTAACAGAGTATAAAATATTCTACACAATAAAATACTCATTGTATGTTTTACAACCAAACAATCATACCATCTTCACTTTCATTGACATCACAGTAGAGAATGGTACAACAAGGATCTTTCTTATCTGGTACAGTTAAACATCTGTCTGAATCTGAATTAGTGTTATTAGTGGTAGGAGGACACCTATAAGAAAAAATAAATATAAATAATAGAATGATAAAAAATAATATAAATATAATACATTTATTGATGAAGAACTGGTTCAATATTTTAACCCCGTATGCCAGAAATGGCCAGGTAGGGGAAAAAAAAAAAAAAAAAAAAAAAAAAAAAAAGGTTCAATATTTTCAGATATATATATATATATATATATATATATATATATATATAAATGCTTTTCAGACTATGATAGCCAACTGAGCTGAGGCACCTGCAATAGGTAATAAAAGCTAAACAATCTCAAGTGTGGTAAGTACTTGGATGGGTAAATGCCTAATTTGGGTGACCGGTCAACAGAGAAAGACACACTGCCCGAGATTCCTCCTCACCTGGTTATGTTAGGCCCATCAACCAACTTGAGGTAACTCTCACTGATTAGGCATAAAATTGATAATGTTACCCCATGTACTTAAATCAGGATGTGGTTTTCCAGGATGTCAGTAGCTTCCCTGAGGTTCAGTCCATAGACGGCATGTTTTAGTAAGAAATATAGGTTCTCGTATGCCTGCTAACGTTAAGCAGTCATAATCTATTAATCTAGAATGATTTTTCACTGTAAGTTGAATCTCAGTGACTTGGTGGAAAGACTGCCAGATCAGCTATTTATTATTATTATTATTTTTTATTTAAAGGGTTTCATGCCACAGGTCAGCAAGGTCATAACATACGTTTTCATTTTAGTTGTCAACGTTTTGGCCTCTTAAGCCATTTTCAAGATTCTGTAAACAAAATTTAATTTAGTTATTTTTTAAAAAATATTTTATTTTAAACAATCTTTTACATATATAGTCCTTATTCTTTATTTTTATTCTACTTCAGAATTTTTTTTATTATATAACATAATTTTTGAATATTTTGGGTTAAAATTACCTACTTATCATGCACTGTTTCATAACATTTTTTTAATATATTATTATTATTATTATTATGTAATGCATGAGTTTATCACTCCTTCATTTCATGGAATTTCGTTTTTATTTTAAAAATTTATATAAATAATTAAATATAGTGTTAAATTTAAAAAAAATAAAAGAAAAAAAGAATATAATTTGGTCTTGAAATATGTACCTCCTTTGTAGACATTAAGTCTGTTGTTCCTCTAAAACAGATTCATTCAAGACTGGATTTAATTTATTAAGTTGGGTGGAAAGGTTAGAGATTAATTGTTTTATCTGTTTTATTTGGAATTATATTTTGGTTTTTATATTTTAATTTTGTCTATTATGCTAGCATAAAAAGTGCTAAGAGTGTCTACATCTGTTTGTTGATTTTATGATTGTTTTATTGTTTTAGATTTTTTGTTATGAATATTGATTTTATTATTCTGCGTTTGTTAATATTTTGATCTCTACATAGAATTGACACTATACCGAAATTAAAATTCTGTTCATTATTTGTGATGTGTTGTGATAGTCCTGTCAACAGTTTTGATTTTGTAGTTTTAGACCTACAATTATGTTTCTATTAATGTATCCTATGTTCAAACCATTGTGAAGATTTGTCTGTAGCATGCTTTATTTTCACAGTCTTCGCATTATATTTCATATATAACATTAGTCAATTTTTCTTTTGGAATACTATGCTTAGTTGTTCTTAATTTATTAATTGTTTTATATCCAAACTTTATTTCGTTTGGACCATGTTTTTTAAAAGTATTTTTTATTTTATTGATTGAACCTATAATATAAGTGACTGAAAAATATATTTTTTTTTTTTCTGCTTTAGCAGGGTCATGTGTGTTGGGCGAAGGAACAAGGATCTTAGAATCACTTGCAATGGAGAGACCCTTGAGCAAACCAATACCTACTGCTATCTGGGAACAATGATTGGCAGGGATGGAAGAATAGACCAGGAGGTCATGAATAGAGTTCAAAAGGCCAATGGAATATACTACCAAATTCAGGAGTTGAGCAGAAAAACCAGGCGAGATCGAATAAGGAATGAAAGGGTGTGAGATGAACTAGGAGTTAGATCCGTCCTAGAGACGATTGAAGACAGGCAGTTGAAGTGGTACGGGCATGTTAATAAAATGGGAGATGACCGTAAGGCCAGGTGGCTTCTAGAAGAAAAACCGGGAGGAAGACGACCTCAAGGCAGGCCAAGGCTTATGTATGCAGACCTGATTGAGAGAATTGGCACAGCGAGAGGAAGTACCATGCCGGAGATGAGAAGGCTTGCACAGGACAGGGACCATTGGACAAGATGGTCAGAGGCAGCTACTCCACGCTTAGCAGCACACAGGGGATATGAGAGAAGAAGAAGAAGGTCTGCTTTATTATTCTTATTTTTCTCATCATCAGATCAGGATTCCTTTTAATATTCTTTTGTTTTTAGTATTATCTAATCTGAAATAGTTTGGGATTAGATTTGTCCTTTTATTTCTGGTTTTATTTGGATTAATTTTTATATTTGTATTGATATTAGGATCTTTCTATAGTTCTTTATTATTATTATCATTTTTATACATTTTATCCTTGTTCCACAATCGATTTATAAGCCTTATAGAAATTTTGGAGAAGAATTTCATATATTTATGTTTTTACTTCTTTAATTTGTATTTTATCTGTTGTTAATTTGGCTTTATCAATTAAATTTTTAGCTGTATTGATTTTCTGTTGTGTACTATAATTAATAATTTAGTATTCTGCTGGTTATATCTTTTTTACACCATAATGTTTTAAGTATCCCTGTTTCGTTTCTATTTATATTCATGTCCAAGAATTTAATTTAATTGCTATATTTTATTTTGTTGGAGAATTTTAGTTTGTCTGAAATGAAAGTTTTTATTTAATTTTTGTTTAAAATCATCACGATATCATCAAAATATTTTATGAAAATCTTAGGGATTTTATTAAATTTCTTTATAGCTTTATCTAACACGTTATTTAGATATATACTGCTAAGATTTATTGATATTGCACTCCTATTTCGTTTCTGTAGTTTACTCAGCCTATGCATTCTCGGAATGGTATAATGCCTATTAATTAGTCTATCTTTATATTTTTCTTCTATGTATTTCTTTTTAATTAGTTTTTTGTCATATCTTAATAATTTGTCTTGGACCTCACTTCAGGGGTCTTTTCTAAGGAGTCCATATATTTGTTGGTCATCGAGTAGATAATTCATTTTATTATTATATTCCGATTTTGAAATGATAACTGTCTTTTTTGTTTTATCCTATATGATCATAAGTGGTTCTGGGTTGTTCTTAAAAAATTGTTTCTCAAAATTCATCTCTATTATATCTTTATTAATTTCAACATGTAAGAGGTTAGTTATATTTTGTTTCCCACTATTGTCTAGATATTGGTTAATATGGTTATTTACTCTGTTTTGATCTACGTTTTTATGATTATCAGAAATATTAATAGACCTAATGATGTTTTCAATATCAGCTATAATATTCTGTATTTCTATATTATATTTAATGGGAATTATGTTGCATTTTTTTTTGCTAAGGATAATACATTAAGGATATTCGCTGGTATATTACTACTGTTGGTATTAACTGGCCAGCCCTTAGTATACAATTCTTTATAAGAATTTAAAAGCGTGTTATGGTTTGTAGCATATGTATCTATTAGACTTTTATCCACGTTTTGTGATACAATGCTCAGGGTGTGATTATTTTTTACATCATTATACGGTTTTATTTTATTTTTTATATGAGATTAAGTCATTTAATTAGTAAACTACACATTTTATTTAATATATATATATATATATATATATATATATATATATATATATATATATATTAGGTAGTGATTGATAAGTAGATTATCTAAGAATTAATTCAGATTTATAAAAACATATGTTTTAATTATTAATGTATAAAACCAAAAGTTCCAAATTAAATTAGTATTGTTCAAGCAGTCACAGTGTTCACTTCATCACCTTTTTCGTTATCTTAAATTCCTATATTACTGAGTAACTTAACCCGGGAATTACGGGCTCTGAGAATGGCATTTTTTTAGAAGCTTATGCTTTTAAGATCAAGCCAGTTAAACAACGTAGAGCGGACTAATCAACCTCAAGGCCTACGTATGAATACTCAAGACCAACAACCGGACCAGAATAGTGACGCTACCAACAGTACGGAGGTAAGTCAAGTTGTTAATACTAATCCCAAGCTGGTGCAGTTAGAGTGGGTAACTGTTAGAACAGCTACAGCCACTTATCTAAATAATGCAGTATCAGAGCTAGAACGGGAGAACTTGGTCACCTCAACCATTTTCTAAAACGAGAAAATCAGATTCACAGTCTGATAGAGGCGAGAATCTCTGCGGGATGGGTGGATTTACTCGATACCATGAAACTAAGGGCATTTCTGCTTGGAAGAGTAAGGTGAAATGACCTGAATGGGATACAAGCCGAAGAGCTGACACCCTGGGAAGAGGTCACTAAAATATTGAAAAAGACCAATGGGGGAGGACGCTGGACACCTGAAGAAGACGTCTATAGACTGTTTACAGAGGTCAAAAGGTCCAGACAGTCAGATTACAGTTTTACGGAAATAATGCTTAATATACTGCCATCTCTGAAATGCTCATCGAGACTGTAGGGCAAGTAGAGGCGGCCCAACAACTATAACTTTTTTGGGAAAGTTCTAACGGTATAATTAGGACGAAATTTAATGATATAAGAGAAACTATCCGCGGATAAATCTTTTGTCGAGTGTGTTTGAAAAATAATGGACAAGAGAACAGGAAGAATTAGATACACAATCGTGGAGACAAGTACCTTTAAGAAACCGGAAGAGCTATAGAGAACAGATTGACCACAGATCGGAGCCATCGCGGAGTCCCAAATTAGTACCCAGAAGAAGCCACAGAGATGGACAGAAACGCTCTCATTGACACAGAAGAGAAGATAACCGAAGGTGCTATGAATGTAATCGGTCTGGGCACATTGCAGCTAATTGTGCCTCGATTAAATGTTTTGAATGTGGAGACAAAGGCCACGTTGCTAGGTCAAGCCCGTGGAATTACAGGAGGAATTCAGCTCCAGAGTCCATGAAGATGAACACCCACACGACGAGACGTTCTAGTGCTTGGAAATATATTCCGAAAAAAAGCTCTAGTGATGAAGAACGTGAACAGAAGCAACCCAGGAAGACAACAGTTGGTGTGGGAGAGGTTGCCCATATTGCAGGGGTGTAGCGACTGGATTAGAGTGCTAATCGACATTGGGAGTACCAGTACCTTGGTCAGCAGAGGACTGTTGAAGAGGCTGGATGGTAAGTACGAGATCAAGGTATGTAAATATTCCGTTACTGTCCATCCAGAAGTGTCCCATACTCCTAATTCACCGTTATTGGACCTTCAGATCGATATCTTTACTTGGGAAGGATCGCACTAGCTTACAGTCCTGGACAATTTCAGCAAATTGGCCATGGCATATCTGCTGCCGAATAAAACGAAAGAAGCTGTTTTGGATGATATGTCCAGATTGATGTCATGGAGTAAAGTATTACGTTAGATGGTGGGAGGGAATTTCGGAACACCCGTTCCACTATGCTCTGAGTTAAAAATGAAGTGCTTTTCAATTCCCAGGATCACCCTAAAGACGCGGGAATATCGAACGCCTCCGCAGCAATGCTACGAGGGGTGCTAGAATACAATAATACCATTCATTCCGCTACTGGTTTTACACCAGTTGAAGTAGTATTCGGCCATCCACTACGGAATCGGGTAGACTTACTAACCATTGCGTACACACATCTACGAGACGTTTTAATTCACAAACGTAAATAACGCCATATCTCAGCGAGTGCATAACAAACTTTTTCGTGAAAAAAAAGTACACCAGGGAGTTCAGAGAGTGAGACATATCCATATACGACACCTTCGCATCCCTCTTGACCCAGAAAGGCGATCTGCAGAAACTTTCAACGTAAATAACAATTTTTCTTTTTCAGTCTAATTAGGTTACCGTCCTGTTCAAGTTTTAGTATTTATGTTTATTATAGGTGATTGTGTTTTTGTTTTGTAGATCTTCTTACTTGATTGTTGTATGTTTTATAATTGTTTGTAACCTTTATTCTTCACATAAGGACCAATTTTTTGTAATTTTTCTTTTAGGTTTATGGACTTGTATCTTTTTGTATTCAGTTTTGTTTTAAGTTTTTGTATTCAATTCTGTTTTAAGTTTTGTTCCAAAGAACTCGAAGTTCACTTTGTGAACTGGGTTGGAATGATAAGTTGGTGAGTAGTTTACCTAAGAATTAGTTCGAATTTATAAAATATCATAAAAAAAACATATGTTTTAATTATCACTGTTTAAAAACAAGAGTTGCAAATAAAATTAGTATTGTTCAAGCAATCGCAGTGATCACTTCATTTCCTTATATACATGGGCAAATAAATGTTACTTCAGAATCTGCTGGCATTTAAGTTAAGAAGCAAAATTATCATGGAAAACGAAAGCGATCCTTTACAAGGCACTCATCCGGCTTATTCTCACATACGGTTCAGAAGCCTGGACCACTACGAAAGCTGACATGGGAAAGAAGGATTTAACGGCGGATATATGGACCTAGAAGAGAGGGGGAAATCTGGAGAAGGAGCTCCAATGGGGAGCTAACAAATTTATTTTAGGACCTAGGCGCTACAGACCATGAAAATCTTTGACTGTGACTGTGCTCTCCTAGACCACACCCCGATTCCCGATTTAAAGTCCGGGGTAGGGTCATCAATCCTACGCCGGGTCGGTGTGAGTTGCCTCCAGTAGCCTGAAGGAAAGAAGCAGAGCAAATCGGACTACAGGTCAATGCAGATAAAACAAAATACAAGATAGTTAACCGAAACATCCAGCCTAATAACATGATCTGCGTGGATTCAAAGTCATTCCCGAAAGTAGACAGATTCAAATAACTCGGCTCCACAATAACCTCAATAAATGATCAACTAACAGAGATAGACCAGCGAATAACAAGTGCGAACAGATCTTTCTTCTCTCTTTCAAAGGTACTGAAATCCAGAAAAATCTCCAGAAATCTCAAAATAAGGATGTACACCGCCGTGATTAAGTCAGTTCTGTTGTACGGTTGTGAAACCTGGGCTCTAACCGGCACACTAGAAGCCAGAATTGAGAGATTCGAAAGAAAAGTTCTACTTAGGATCACACCTATATGGGACCAGAACCTTGACACATGGAGGAGAAGGAACAATAAAGAACTGCTGAAAGAAATGGGTCATTCAATATCTTATGACATGAAGGGAAGGAGGTTAAGATGGGCAGGGCATGTAGCTCGATGCTATTCATCAAGACGCCTTTACACGACAATGAATGCCAGAGTAGTAGGCAAGATACCACATGGAAGGCCAAAAACCAGATGGATAGATAGGATAAAGAAAGATACGGCTGAGCTTCATGCCGCAAACTGGAAAGCAGTAGCCCAAGATAGGCAGAGGTGGAGAAGGCTGGTTCAGGCGGCCAAAGATCTACAAGGTCTGTAGAGCCTACCGAAAAAAAAAACAAAAAAAAAAAAAAGAAAAAATATATATATATATATATATATATATATATATATATAAGTGACGGTAGACCAATGCTTTTTGAAAAGGTCTCAATTATGGGAATGGATCCTCATTGTATTACGTGACCAACTAAATGTTCTTGCCCCCTAATCCTAAAATTTACTTTTCATGGAAGTAATTCAAGCGATTGTTGGGTTTAATTTTTTTTAGAAATGCTAAGGAAAAATAATAAGCTATCATCTTAAATTGGTATTGATGTCCTGTTGGTATTGAAAGGAGCATTCACATGCAACTTCGAGCTATTTAGTAATTCGAGGAAAGAGAAATAATTTTGATAGGGGAAACGATCTATCTGAAGAAGCAACATTATATTTAATTTCAAAAATAGTCATAATCTGAGCAAAAATAACATGATAAACCTCAAGCCACAAAACAAAGGGAACATCAATACTATTTCAAGATAATTTCTTAATGTATAATATACATACACTGTGTTGCACAATAATATATTTTGGCAATTGCTTGAATTAGTGTCATGAAAAAATAAATATAAGAATTTAAAACTAGGCATCTTTATTTATGTTAATTATTTTCCTGAGAACCTTAATACGATGGCTACCTTGGTTTACACTGAACTGCTCCATTATCAGTACATTCACAAATGGTACACTCAACATTAAATTGTTCACCCTTCTTATATGTCTGATTGTTATGAGTACATGATTGTATCTCTGGTTCATCTGAAACAAATACAAAAAAACAAAATTATACCTTTGTTTTCGAAAGATGGCAAAAGATCTACAAGGTCTGTAATGCCAACAGAAAAGAAAACCAAAATATAAAGATAATTAATTTAGAAAAAATCAGGCCCTTTCACACTTGATTATATGCTTTTCTACAATACAATACAAGTTAGAATTGTTATATTTTTGCTTTATGCCTAAAAGGCAGGCAACATGAGCAAGAGTTTTGCTTGTTATAAATATAAATTCTGACAGTATTGAAGCATGAGATTGGAAAATACATAAATGATGTGACAATTTTAAAAATAGCAGTAATGTGAAATATTCAATTGTAAAAATACTAAATTAAAATTTTTTTTTGGCTTCTCCCCTTTCTCACCTTTAAGGCTAAACGGAGTTTTCCCGGGCCAGGGAATGAGGGCGAGGATTTAAAAGATTTCTCCGGCACCGGGATGTAAGCTCCTGACTATTTTTATCTAGAAAACATGTTTCAGGTTGCCAACGGCGGTGCTGTACACACACGTTGGCCCATTCGGCCACCAGTCACAAACTCACTCTACAGTCTCCTTAGACTGTGATCTATCGAATAATGAAAGAAAGCAGGTCAACTAAATTATATAGATAAATTAGGGTGCTCCTTGACTTAACCTGATGTCCCCTTCATTATGATGTAGTTATATCTCTAATTAGAATAAAAGTCCTGGAGAAATAAAAGGATCATCTGTAGGTTTGGTAGGCAGAAAAAGTTGGAAAACCTGTTAGGGCAAACTCTTTTCTTAAACTTGCCGACATATGTTTGGTCACTCTATAAAATGGAAATAGTTGATTCACCAAATCGCCTGCAGCGTGACTGAAATTAGCCTACCAGCAAGCATCGGTTCATTCCTATTTTCCCCATTATTTTTTTGCTTTGTAGAATTCCAAGGTGAGTCACATATGTCATTATCAGTAGTGTATGTACCTACTTAATCAATACTAATAATTATCTCCTATAATTTAAATTAATCTAGATTGAAGAAAAGGCAAGATAGTTAACTCACTTTCCTCATTAGAATGAGAACAAATCATTTTTGAACAACATTCATTTTCTTGTTTGAGAAAACAATTGGGATCAGGACTAGATAAAGTTGATCTCACCAAAGGTCCTGTGCATCGAGGTCTGCATTCCATTCGGCCATTATTGCACTGGCATATCTAAAACAAAATAATCATTATCAATAAGAAACTTGTAGATTTCTTGACCATTAAAAATATTTATAAAACAGGAATAAGGTTATGCCAAACTTTTATTGGTACTTACATTTGTCACACAATCTTTAATAATGATACCTTAATTCAGTCTGGTTTCTGATCCCAGTTCTCCACCCAATCTGCTTTGTTAAAAATCACCCAAGACCTTCATTTCTCCATAGACAAACAAAAAATCTCCATCCTGATCCTCTTTGACTTTCCAAAAGCCTTCGATTTCGTAAATCATGAAATCCTCCTTTCCAAACCCCAAAACCTTTCCGTATCAAGTAGCGTCCTAAAGTGGTTCCGATCCTTCTTGTATCACAGATCCCAAACAGTCATTATCCCCAATAAAACCCCTTCCTCCCCCTCTCACTAACTCGTGGTGATCCTCAGGGATCTCTTCGCTCTCCCCAACTCTTTTCTCCATATAAGTCAACGACCTTCCCGATTCCATCCACCATTCACAATACCAGTTGTATGCTTACGATCTCCAAATCTACCTTTCCTTTTATCCTACTGAGATGCTTGAGGCGGTTCGACGACTACAAGAAGATATAAACAGTATTACCACTCGGGCAGCGAGTAATGATTTAAAGTTGAACATCCGGTGGCCTTGAGATCATATTGAAGAAATTAATGAATTGTTTCATTCGATTCATCTTTGGAGTACCCAAGCGCTCCCACGTCTCCCGTTGGTATGCCGAGTCGAAGTTGCTCTACTCAGTTCTCCGGCGGCAAAGAAAAGAAAAGATTTAGTTCAATTTAATGTGTGAATCAATCAGTCTGTAGTTGTGGTGACAACGACTTATTGATTGAGAAATATATGAAGAGCCAGGTATTAAGGTTACATTGTTACATCTAAAAGTGTCTGAGAGTTTATTATATGTATATCTTAAACAATGAATTGTATAAGTATTTGTTAATACAAGGCCTCCGGTGAGGATTGTGATTTAAAATAAAAATTTAAATCTTAAATAATTAATATCAATAAATTATTAAATTTATCTAAATTTATATATAAAGGATATAATAATTTATATATTGTATCACATATTATCAATTATATGAAATTAATGTCATTCTAAACTTCATATCATTATCACGAAATTCCCCATTGATTGATACCGAAAATAATTCTATTGTCAATGACTTCTTAGAATCATTAAAATAAAAAAAACTTTGAATAATAAGTTGAACGATCGAAATTGATAAAAAAAACTAATTGAACTTAAAAATGGTGGCGTCTACGATGAAGAACATCAATTTTATGGTTTAAAGTAAGCTTTGCTTACAGTAGAAATACAATAAATATAATATAAATATCTCCGTAACCATTGATTTTATCACAAAAAAATGTAAAGAGTCATTTTTATAGAGATTTTAATGTTATTTAATATTATACTGAACAATCTTTGCGAAAAACCTCATATTTTTGTAGATATATTCAAAAGAGAAAAAAAAATATTAGTTTTCTGTTCTCTCCCTCCCTCCCATCAAAACGCAACGCAGGATTCTTTGGGAGGACTTTTTACCAGTTATTATGGGAAGGGTAATAAACAATTTCTGAAAAGTTTCATCTCTATTTTTGGAATGTTGGGGTCAGGTTGTTTTTTTCCGTAACTTTTATGGACTATAACAGCTCTTTAAATATTTTTCATTTTTTGCGGAACATCCTGTATTGAGCTTAATATGTACTGAGGAAGTACATATTAAACTCAGAGGAAGTAGTTTGATTTCAGGAGTAGTTTGATTTCATAACGGTACATAAATGCATTACTATGTTATATGCACTTAGAAGTAAGTGGAACATAGGCAAAGAAAGAATGAAAGTTTGCATATAATAAGAAACACATCATCCGCTGGGCAGTTACAGACTTTAAGTTTGTAATAATTTAAAATTGTTGTTACATTTCTAGAGTATTAATTATTGTACTGTGTTATTGGTAGAGACCTTTTCAAAATAATGCTGTGACGAATAAAATTTTAAATAAAAAACGCACCTCATCACAACCGTGCTCTTTGGTTTCACCTTCATGGCATTGGGCATCTTCGTCCATGGTGACGTCATCTAAAGCTGATTCTGTCAAATTTGCGAGTGCTCGTCCCTCCTTCGTACCTGAAATAAAAAGACAATTTTAGAGCAAAGAATTTTCCCTTGAACCAACTCCCAAGCCTTTATATATCAAGTAGTACCATGATTTATAATATAATTTAAATTTAAATGTTCTGTAACAAACTGAACCACAATGATCAATTTAATGACCACTGCTGACTGGAGATTGGAATGCAAAAAAATCCTAAATGAAAAATGGCAATTCAAGTGGAACCAATCTACGAATAAATTGCAAGAAATCAAAAAAGATACCAAACCATGGACGACCTCTTTCAAAAAGAACAGGAAAGAAGAAACAATTTTAACTCGGCTTAGAATTGGACATGCAGCCTTTACCCATGGCTACTTAATGAGAGGCCTGGAACCACCATTTTGTAAAACATGCAACACACCACTTACACTGAAACACATTATAACAACTTGCAGACTATACTCTGACACCAGAACAAAATATAATATACCTTCCAGCATATCTGAAGCACTTTCAGATGACGAAGAAAAGATACAAAAAGTGTTTGAATTTAAAAAAGACATTAAATTTGTACACCTAATTTGATTCCATCTAAAGCCGCTAATGACCCGATCGGGTAGATGCGGAATGTAACAATAAATAAATAATAAATAATAAAAATTTAAATGATGCTGAATATCAAATATTTTATGTACAGATCTTAATAAGTAATATATAAGAATCGAAAATAGGAAAAATAAACGGTATTTCTATAATAAAATTAAGGTATGGAGACATTATCTTGATTGGGAGATCCTCTTGAAATTGGAGGCTCTCGAGATAAAATAAAGGCAAGAGGGCCCATCCCCCCAAGGTCAATGGAGATCTTTCCTCCAAATATTTTATTGTTCTCCTCTTCTTAAAAACAGCGGAAGCGAATGTAGAATTAAAAAAATTATAGATTATATACAATTACACATCCTGCAGACTGGTTCATGCTTCATCTTGTCTTTTGGTTGGAAACTTTTAATTTCGAATATTCATAATATCTTCGAAATGTGCTTACCTGAAAAAGCCAAAACCCCTTCAAAATGTGTCCCCTGAAAAATGTTGGCGCAACTTGTGCCATGAAATCCCCTTTTGGGCACCTCTGCAAAAAGGTCGTTTTCGAAAATCAAGAGCTATAATTATTATAATTTAAGTACGCAGCTATGATGAAGTATTTTTAAAAGATATGATTAAGCTTTTTTTATATGTCTTGCATTATTGAAACACGTTCAAATATAAATTATAGTAATGCAGGATTATGAATGCATTTTAAACAAATATAGAAACAATTTAATTAGGTTTAAGGAAAAATAACATAAACAAAGTCATTTCTGTAACAATCCATGAAGTTCTTCTGAAACAAGCCGATTGTCGGGGATACGATGGGCTTCTAGCCGTGACTGCTGGGATATTTTCTATTATTTATCCCTTGTAAGGGAGCGGAGTAGCTCAGTGGGTAAACACTGACTTCCAGAACTCAAGATCCCAGGTCGAATCCGGCTGATGTCTTGTATTTTTCAACAGCCGTGGATCGAGCTTGGGGGGGGGGAGAAGGGGGAATGGATTTCCGGGAATCGGTGAACATCAATGAAGAGAATTATTGAAAGGTATAGGAAAGATATGTATAAAATCTACAAATGTGGTACATTTTGTTCATTGAAAGTAAACCTACGATTGTTATCTTGAATTTCATCTTTAATATTGCATTTTAATTTGTATCACGGGCGGATCTACGGGGGGGGGGAGGCTTTCGGGCGGAAGCCCCCCCAAAATGGTAAAATATAACCATGTTTTATGGAAAAATATATTAAAAAATTATCTCTTAAAGTATTATCGTTGGTGTAATTACATTTAAAAGGACTTAAGGAATCACTTCAACACTATTTCATATAGATAGTTAGTTTCTTTCTTTTTTTCCAAAGTAATTATCGTCATTTTTATGAAAAAAAAATCTTTCGGGCTGAAGCCCCCCCCCCCAAAATTAAATCCTGGATCCGCTACTGATTTGTATACATAAATAAATATTCATTTGTATATTTTTATTTTATTAAATTAAGCAAAATATGAATTTATCCTCAAATATGCAAATATAGACATTTATCCTCAAATATGCAAAATTAAATTTGGCTAATTGCATCACAGAGTATTAATTCGTAAAGATTTTTGATCAGCAGTTAAAAAATTGCATAAAAATCCGGGCTTGGGAATAACACACAGATAACTTATAAATCTATGCCCCGAAGGTAGAGTAAACCATGTCCATTTTTTACTTTCACAATATAGTATAGTATAGTTATATAGTGAGGGTAAGTATTGCGATCGTGAAAAGTTTCGAATCTGAGTTTTCAACGGAAACACATGTTTTGAGGTCTCCTGAGTCCAAATAACCAAGTCCCGCAAAATGGTCTGTGTGTGTGTGTGTGTGTGTGTGTGTGTGTGTGTTTGTGTGTGTGTGTTTAAAGCACTGCATTAAATAAAGTATTTCTCTCTCTTGATTTAACCCATTTTTACGATTTCCTAAAAGGCTCTAACGATTTTGATTAAACTCAGTATATCAGTGTATTATTAAGCAGTTTTTATTATAATGCAGGTTTTATTCTCATTGATGTTCTCTAACAGGGTTTAAATGGCTAATTTTCAATATTAGCTCCCTCTAAAGTTCCTTCAATATTTTTTATTTGAAATAATTAACAATTTCACATTAATCTTTGATGTAAAACATAGTTAAATATAAAACATGAAAGAATTTGATAATTAACTAAAGGAGAAATAAGAGATGATAACGGATAACAGTTTAAATGGAGAAACCTAAGGAATACGAGCGTGACAGAGCTTACCCGAACTTGCCCGAAATATTATAATAGGCTTCCATACGTAACATACGCTTAATATCCATAATCCATACATAACATGAGCTTAAGATCAGACGGACTCCGACGATATTATGTACGTATACATATGAGGTTTTCATACTTGCTATCGCTGATATTATTTAATATTTATTTGTATAGATTACACCGATATAAAAATTTGTACATATAAGGATAGTTAAAAAAGTATAAATACCCACAACTAAATCTAAATAAATATAGCGTCTATACGCGCACCAGATTTATTAAATAATTTAGTAACTAAGAAACAAATTAATAGCCAATGCTATGGAAAGTTGGCTCTCTGAACAAATAAAAAAATGTGACATGGCGTCTTTTACCTCCAGAGTAAAGGAGTAGAGATTTAGTAACTAAAAACAAATTTTAATTGGTCAAAGTTATGGAACATTGGCTCCCCTCAACAAATACATAACTGCGACAAGATGCCCTTTATCTCCGAGGTACAGAAATATAAGTATTAACTACAACTGAAGTCTGTTTGCTTTTATTTGTAATGGAAGTGATGCTATCGCTCAGATAGTAATTTATCCATTGTTTATTAGGGAATATTAACGGTTTCGAGAAATCAAATCAAATTATATTTTATTTAATATAAAATTTTAATTTGGATAAAAACTTCGATAGTTCAAAAAAGAGCACTTGTCAATATTTTATAAATCACTCGTCAATAAAAAAAAATAGTAAGAAAGTTAAGAGTTCACATTAATATTTTTTAAATCTATCTGAGGTAAAATTCGATTTGTTAATTAAATTTATTAGGTATTGGATTTAAGTAAACAATTTAATAATTATATTAATATAAAATAGGTTAATTATAAAGATCAGTTAATGATTTTAATAATTAATCAAGTAATTTACGAAATTATATAATAGAACAATAGCAATCATATTTTCGACATAATTAATCATTAATAGATATTTTTGATTCACAACCAACTGATTGATTACCTGAACAACATCAGACACCGTGAAATTAATGTACCAAAATTAGACGATATAATGGCAGTCTAATATACAGTGGCGTAGATAAAGCTAGGAAGGGCAATGCATTTCAACCAAATGGAAAAAAAAATGGTTAATGCTTTATTTATTTATTTTGTGCTTCATTTACACTCTTTTTAATACGTCTAAGAGTGAATATGAATAATGTCGGTAGGTTAAGTAGTGATTAAGGAATAAGTATCAATTAGTTATATTTTTGCTGAGGAGAAGAGCACAGGAAAAATGGTCCTCCTTAGTAACGGCACTACAATTATATATATATATACATACATATATTAACGATATAAAATCATTTAGTTATTCTCGTGGAAAGTAAACAGAGATTAGAAAATTATTCCGGTTTGGAGGAAGTAGGTAAGGCAGTGGAAATTTCAAAATAGCTTAGAGGAATTAGAAAGTATTGAAAGTGAGGCAGGCCTTTGACCCACTGTTTCACATATCACCTTTGCACTTGTTAATCTTTTAGACATCAAAAAAGCCTTTGATTAAAGTAATTTAATATTTAGTTTCTCATATCAAATAGATCCAAGTTTTACTTATAAAATCAATGTTTACGGTTTTGATAACTATATTCAAATTTATTTACAAATTTTCTGGCTAAATTTAAAGACAAACATTTTTTTAAAGTTATAAAGTTACCTTTGTCAATGAAAATTAATTTTATAGCTGTGAGATGGTTTAATCTCTCCAATAAAAAAAAATGTTAATAAATATTTTTATAATTTTCTATCTGGTTTTGTCTGTTTGATCATTTTAAGGCGTCATAGTCCACATTAAAGACCTATTTTTATCAAGTTATTGACATCTGTCTCAAACTTCGTCAATAGCTTTATTTTATCTTAACTTTTTTATCCACGTAAATTATCAGGAATAAGGCGCTTTCTCATTAATTGATTTAATTTATTGAGGTATTAAAAACTCGCTAATTTCTATTTCATCTAGATCGAGAAAAAAGATGTCCTATAAAAATATTGGGAGGTTTGGCTTATATTACCTCGTTATTTTGACATATTTGGAGGTGAAGGTCACGCCAAACTGACCAATATTTTTACAGGCCAGCTTTTTTCTCGATCTTGTTATCAAATTAACCTACGATTCAAATGGAAACCAAA